GTGTAAAATAATTTTGGCTCTATTACCATAATCGTTCGCAAGTTTATAGTTTTGCTTTAAGATGCTTTTATGGGAACCTGAAAAGAAAAAAATAAAAATGTCCCTTAAATTTATAGTCTGCATTACGGGTGTGATTTTCAAATCATCGCAATATGTAATAAAAATCACTGGCAATGATCTAAAGGACACTCACCCATTTTGTAGAAGTTATTTAAGTCTGTTTACTTTTGTCCTTTTTTGTTGTTGTGTGTTCCTTTACCTACGAACTATTATTTCTTACTCTTAAATAGCATCATAGCATAAGTTATAAGCTGTGGTATAGAATGTGATTACACACTTAAAACTTTATCGATACCGGCATCAACAAAGAAGAAAAGTTAAGTTTGTATTTTTAAGGAAAATTCTGAAGACGTTTTTGATATAAAACCATAACAAAATAAAAAAAAAGATTTTATTAGCAGAATTGAAAAACTTAATAAGGCTCTTAATCTGAGTTTACATTTTATCAGTTTTAATGATTCTTTTTTGGTATCTGAGCACGTATATATATATCTAAATATCCATTCAATGCAACTACTCCAGCAAATAGGGTTGTATTTCTTATCATAATACAGGTTGAACATTGTACAAAAAATAGAATAATTTGATTGACTGTTGATTATCTGATAGCCGATTGCTCAGTCGTATTTTGGCGGCAAGTGGAAGCATTAAAACACTTTAGTTCTTATATGTATAGATTTTAGCATATAAAAGTGTTACAATATTTAAACAATTGCCAATAAAAATACTAATCGCTGATTACATAATTATAATACTCTTTTGCAGCAGTTTTTTTTTTGAGCAAAAAGGAAAGTTAAAAACTTAAGAGAAATTATTTCTTTTCTACGCTTATTCAATCAAATTTCAAAGCTTCTTAACGAAATGGTTTCTTTTTCATGATCATGTTATCTTTTATACTCTATGACATAGGTATAATTAATATTGGGGAAAAAATGTTGATACATTAATTGTTTATAAAGGTGTGAATTCCTTTAATATATATATATATATATATATATATATATATATATATATATATATATATATATATATATATATATATATATATATATATATATATATATATATATATATATATATATATATATATATATATATATATATATATATATATATATATGAGGAGTTAAATAATTGGTTATTTACTCACTTTTCTGTCTTCGCCTACGCTTCCAAAAGTATGTGCAGTCCTAGGGTAATATTGACTGGAATTATCAGCAAAAATGAAAAGAATTGTCAAAATATTCTGCTGAGAGGAGGTTGATTTGATGACGGTATTTTAACCTTCCAAAAGGGCAAATACATTTTTAAACTTCTATACTACATTTATAACGAAAAACATCACATTACAAGTTTGTCACTCAACTCGAGTGACGTTTCTCATTCACTCTTTTTAAGAGTTTTCATTCAATACATCAAGGAATTTTTATTATATCAGCTATTTAAAAAAAAGTAATTTACCATCCTATTTGAAATGTGAATCAAAGAGAGAGAGGACGGAAACAAAATATTAAATATATAATTATTGTTCCTACATCCTACATATATTCTTCCACACATTTTCTTTGAATCCTTTTATCATTGAATCATTCAGCAACTTTTGCATTCTTCAAATAACTTGATATAATATGACATAAATTTAAAAAAATAACTAAGATGGACTCAAAAAATTCATTAGAAATAATATTTAAAATAATAATAGTCGCCCGCGTGGCGCAGTGGTTAGAGCGTCTGCTCTAGAGTCGAGAGGTAAGGAGTTGATCCTTACGTCGCGGGTTCGAATCCCACTGTGGGACGTGGAGACCGGTCCTTCGGATGAGACCGTATAAACCGAGGTCTCGTGTCTCAATAGGTGTTGGCAAGAAAAAGACCCATCACTGCTCAATGGCCGTAAGTGCCGAGCATAGGACAAAATTTGCAGCTCTCCACCGGCAAGTGGTGGCGTTTCCATATGAGTGAAAAATTCTCGTGAGGGACGTTAAACAATATACAAACAAACAAACAAAGTAAAATAATAATAAAGATACTCTTCGTTTTTGTTTTATGTGTATTTTTATTATACCGTACATGCACATGGCAAATCTCTAAACACTAGAAAAAGTACAATCTGCTTGCATTAAGACAAAGAATGGGTGTAATTGACGGGGAAAATCTCATATTTTTGAAAAAGTATTTCTATTACTATTTTTTTTAGTTGTGGAAGGGGGGTATCCACACTTCAGGTGCCTGTGATTCAGCTCCCCTCGGTCGACTACGGTACCTTCATCAAATCAGAATTAGTCGGCGGCCAGGTGTGTCGAGTGTCGGGTCAAAAAATTACAGTTTACAGTTTACAGTTACAGTTTACAAGTACTGTGTGGTCAGTCGAGGTCTTTCGATAGTATTCATATTCATGAATTCCATTTTTACCAAGAAGCTTAATAAATGTAATGTATACTTTTTAAAATAATTGATGAAAATTCTTAATTTGGATTATTGTTATGCAGATAAAGAAAAATGTTTATGTTTGATATCTGTCGCTGCACAGCCAACTTCTGCTAATTTAAACGAGAATCGTGTTACTCCGTAAGGTATCGTATCGTATCTTTTACATGTCAAATCCGATCATTTACATATATATAAAGAGATTTTTTCTTTCTAATTACAGCGTAGGGTTTGTGTATCATTTTAAACACATAACTGGATGCATGGATTCTTTCAAATACACTATTACATAATTAATGCCTTCAGAATATAACAACACCAGTCGGGCGGAATTTTCAATTTGTTATAATCACATTTTACCTCTAAGATTTTGGTTTTAAGTTTCTATTGCATTAACACATGCAATAGAGAAGACTAACTTTTTTTAATGAACACTGCGCAACGAGAGACTGAGGAAAAATTGTAAAAAAAAAAAAACAAAAAAAAAAACTCTGTTATAATTTTGTTTCCTGTCAAAAGGTTGAAGACAGTTGCTCAAAAGGTAAGTTTTGATTGACGTAAGCAGAAACAAAACCGTCCCTTTGCGATGAAGTGCAAAATAATGAATCTAGAAAATAAAAACTTGCGATCAGATAAAGTGAAACTTTCATTTGTTTGTACTTAAGATTAATATATATCTTTTTTAAAATTGAATTAATTGTTGCGGAATTATTTCGAGGAAAATGAAATAAGCAAAAAAATTTCATTTAATTTATTTCAACAGCATTCTTTTGTCGCCCGCGTGGCGCAGTGGTTAGAGCGTTCGCTCTAGAGTCGCGGAGTAAGTAGTTGATCCTTACCTCGCGGGTTCGAATTCCACTGTGGGACGTGGAGACTGGTTCTTCGGATGAGACCGTATAAACCGAGGTCCCGTGTCGCAGTAGTGGCTGGCTCGAAAAAGATCCCTCACTGCTCAATGGCCCCGAGTGCCGAGTAATTTGCAGCTCTCCACCGGCAAGTGGTGGCGTCTCCATATGAGTGAAAAATTCTCGAGAGGGACGTTAAACAACAAAAAACAAACAAACAGCACTCTTTTACAAAATAGCTTGCTGTCGTATAACGTCATCTTTTTTTTTAAAAATAAATGACCATTTTCAATTCTTATTTGTATTCGAGTGATTTATGAAAATCAAACAGGGCCAAATGAAAATAAATGAGAGGAAATGGGATGTGGAAAAAAAAAATTACGTTCACCACGTGGCGATATTGAAATTGAAAAACAAATTATGCACTGTCCTGTTTTCTCTCTGAGTTAGAAATGAACTCACTGTTTAAACAAGAGATGTTTGTGAAACACTTATGCCCCATACATTATAGGGTTTGTATACCAAATTTCATTTCAGTGTATACAAACTCTGCGAAGAAAATGAACGGAAACTGCAAATAATTGGAATTTTTCTCTAAGTCCAAGGGTCATAACTCTGTCAGAAATTACTTGATCGTACCCAAAACAGAACCTTGCATAGATATTCTTATAATAAATCTATATACCAAATTTCATTTTAGTATGTGCAACCTCTGCGAAGAAAATGATCGGAAACTGTTGGTGGACCGACAGACAGACAGACCAACCGACCGACAGAAAGCAGCAAAGCAATATGCTCTCTTTTCTTCGATGGGGGACATAAATATTCATCTAAATATATCTTACCATATAGTGTAACAGATATTGCCGTAAACGTTTACAATAGCGAGAGTGGATCAAAGCACATGGCTTGTGATGATGCTTTACACATTCACGAAGAATAATAGTGAATACTTCTTGTGTATTGAAATATCCAGGTTATTGTGTGTATTTGCAAATTTTTATTTCTTTACCCTGAATTTGGATAAAACATTCGGAATATTTTCCCCCCATTTCTTGCGATTTAATACACATAGAGCACCTTTTTCGGATTCCTACAAAATGATAGCAATTTCGACATGAAGGGGACATTGGGAATATATGTTTTTCTTTAACTTTTAGAAAATACGTTACTACTTGGAATGATTTTTTATTATCTTAAATTTGTTTATTGGCCCTTCAACAAAATTAGACACAAGGTCACTTAACATGATATTGGGCAACCATTGGGACATACACTCATAGTTTCAGTTTAAAACTAGCATTCAATGCCATAACAAAAACAGAATCTTTGTTCTGATTATTATTATTACTACTTCAGAACTTCAAACTTAGTCTTTCTGATGAATTTTAAATCTTTAAAAAAATCATGATCGTTTTGGGAAAAAAATGAAGTTTGAAATATTAACTCGGTTAATATTCTTTTCATCGAAGTTCACAGAGCATGACAAAACCAGAAATTTTAATAAGTGCTTAAAATCACATTTGTTTATCTGCTTGTAGAATAAAACTAGATATCTGAAAGAAATATGGCGGATGCGATAAAATTTCGCATACATGAATGAAAATGTTATGCACTTAAAATCACATTTGTTTATCATTCTGCTTGTAGAATAAAACTAGATAACTGAAAGAAATATGGCGGATGCGATAAAATTTCGCATACATGAATGAAAATGTTATGCACTGAATGTGACGGATTAGCTTTTGAGGTGAGGTTATAAAGTAAAGTATCTTTCAACTCTAGGATCAGAGTTTCAAAATAGCATATTTTCTAATTATATGTGTAAGGTTTTCTTGGATTCCTTTATGAATTCTTATCAATTGTAAAATAAGTAGGATGAACTCGAGAGTAAATTAGGTCTATATTCTTATGTGAGTTGCCCTGCTCATGCAAAATCGTAATCTTTCATTTTTCTATTCTCATGCCCAGCATGGCTGGTCAAAATATGAATCTAGGCTCAATTAAAGAAAAAAGCAAATGATTCGGTAATTGCAATGATGATTTAAATTTTTTTTTCAAACGGTGCTGGGTTTTAGGTAGTTTAAGATATGTTGTCGGTAGGGGGCTGGTGCAAAAAATGATTTTAACCTGCGACAGTGTTTCAGTCACATTTTATTCAAAAAAAATATTTCAAGATATATGGTTTGCAAAATTTGACACCAATATTTCGCCATCTTGACAATTTGCATGTAAATCAGTGTAAATCACGTAATATACTTGCATATATTTTGTTGTCCCCCGCTTTCGGGAAAGCGAGGGACATTAAATCCCATTCGTATGTCAGTCTGTCCGTCTGTCACAAAAACCTTAACCTTGGTCATATCTTTTGAATGAGAAGAGATAGGGCTTTCATTTTTCACAAGTACATAACCTGTGATAAAACCTTTCCAAATATACTGTGATTTTTGACCCAGTGACCATGACATTGAAGTTTGACCTAATTTTCAAAAAAATTACCATTACTTTAAATTGGACATAACTTTTGAATGAGAGAAGAAAGGGTTTTATATTAAACATGTCTATTGCCTCTGACATGACCTTCTCAAATATACTATGATATTTAACCCCATGAACTTGAAGATTGACCTCCTTTTCAAAAGTTGTATCTTTTCTTACAACTTTTGATTGAGAAGAGACATGGCTTTCATATTTGACATGTGCATTACCTGATACAAGACCTTTGCAAATATACTATGATTTTGACCCCTTGACCTTGAAGTTTGACCTACTTTTCAAAAATTTTAGCATTACTTTAAATTGGTAATAACTTTTGAATGAGAAACAAAAACTTTGATGTTTACTTTTGGATGACATAGTGCGTTCATATTTGACAAGTGCATTACCTGTGTCAAAATGTTTCCAAATGTGCTATGATATTTGACCCTGTGACCTTGACCTTAAGTTTGACCTAATGTTCCAAATTTTTAACAATGCTGATAATTTTTGATTGAGAGAAGATATGATATTTACATTTGACGTGTGCATTACTTGTTTCAAGACCTTTCCAATTGTGTACTCTGGTTTTTGATATTTGTTCACATGTGCATTACTTGTGACAAATATTTTATAATGCTGTATATTTGCATAAGTAAATTAATCCATCTGAATATTCGTTCCACCTCAGTCGCTTGCACCAACATTATTTCCTTAAAGAGGTAATTTGAACCTCAGTCTGGATCGATTATCAATCTAGAATAAATGAAATTAATTTTCTTCGCTGATTTCTATGAACTCTGTTTCTACTATGATCAAAGGTAAATCGATCAACTTATCAATTAAACGTAGTAATAGATTATTATAATGATTTTGTGTGACGGAATTAAGAAAGATCTAATCCATCTCTGTTCATGTCCTTGTTTTATACTGTGCTCCCTTAAGAAGGCTCTCCTTAAGACATCAGAATCGCATTCTGTTTATTGCACGTGACGAGTCAATCCGAGGGTCGTATTACGGAAGCCCACAAGCCCCGCTTAAGAAACTCTGTTGGTATGGACGGCAGGGATCACCTTTTGGTAGCAGAGTGTAAAAGAAACAAAATTGGGATTCTGTGATACGAGTGATCACGTCAAGGACGTCAAGATTAACGTTATATCTCATGAGAATTCAGCAAAGTTGGCAGTTTCTCTTGGGGCGGGATATGTGAGCATATACCAACTTACTGACACACCGCCTGAACAAGTTCAGTTTCATCAGAGGATTCATACATTACAGGGCTCAGTGATAAGTCAGTTATAATATCGTGTGGTGAAACGGCCCAAGATAATTATGTAAAATTATATATTTAGCTGTACTAGCTTAAAGAGCATTTGTTCGTATAACTTAGGATTGTATTATGATATTTTGACCTCATGATCTTGATGTAGTTTCGAGAAGCTTTAATCTTTGCATAACTGTTATGAATTCAATAATTTATGTTTTTTCTATGATGCACAGAACAAGACAGGACACACAAACAAGACAGTTACAATATGCAATAAATAATGGCATCCCATCCACTAAGACACTGAAAGCGGGGGACCACAATTCTTTGAATTTACTTGTTAAGTTTTACCCTTACCGTTCTATAAAACCATTTTAAAACATGACGTTAATTCTTCCATGGGCATCCTTTATAATCCTCAAACTAGTTCCCTTTATTCTTAGATAATTTCAGATACAGAATGGAAGCATTTTTACGTGAAGAACTAGAGGACGAAAACTTGAAGTGTTTAGGTATTGCTGGGTCAGGCTATATTAGTGAAGGATTTACATACAAAACAGGAAAAGGGGAATTGATCTTTGTCAAGATCAACAGAAAAGCTGAGGTGAATCCTCATTATTAGCATGTATTCTTGTCATCAGTAGAGATAAACAGTAGATTATCCAAAGTTATTTTGCTCCTTTTTGAAAAAAATTTTCATGGCTCTTAAAGGTTAAAAGTTGAATGATATATAAAACTTGTTGTTCGATCACAAAACTCTTAGTGTTAACATTTTTTAAAATACCTTCATGTCAGATATGTTCACTTAAAATAGAATATCGGTGTGTGGACTTGAATTCATTATTTGTAATTTTTAATGCATCTTAAATTACAGGCTCGGCAGATGTTTGATGGGGAATATAGGAGTTTGGAATGTTTATATGCTGCAGACATTGTTCAAGTTCCAAAACCAATTAAAGTAAAATATCTTAAAAATCAAATATAGTACTGTATAGTCTAGGGTTGGGCAAAGTATAACGTATGCATTTGAGATTCGTAACTTATGAATATACTTCAAGACTGCATTACTTAAATTTTCACCTTGATGAAGTGCGGTTCATAGATTTAAACTCCTCTCGGCCAGATTACTTTGCTCGAGCTATAACACCATCTATTCATTTCAAGAAAAATGTTAAATCTTTAAACCTAATAGAACATCAACTTTCACAAAGCGATCTAAAAATAACCAAAATAAGACCCCAATGTTGAAATTCATGTAAAGATGAAATTGTTTAGGAAAAAATCAAAGCAATAACTTTCATATATCTTTCAACAACAATTTCATAATTAAAATGCAAGGTTTATTTTTGGCCTTACTGAACCGCCAATAGCACATATGAAGGCAGCAATCGAGAAGTAACCAAACTCCTTGTAATACATATATAACATATATATGAATGTGAGTTATTTAAGCTAAATGCACCAAAAATTAGAGTTGTCAAAATTTTTAACAAATTAAACCTTTCTAGATTAAACCTAAAGAAATTAAATAAACTAGAGGGTTAATTGATGTTTTTGTTACCTAGGTAATAAACCTTCCAGAAAGAGGCTCAGCACTGATAATGGAACATGTTCAGATAAACAGTCTGTCCTCACAAGCTGGAAAGTTAGGAGAATCGATGGCAAGGTAAAATATAAAGAAGGGATAGCAAGTAAGTTTATCATATTTTATATAAATATTTACATTTACATGCTTAAATGCACCAAAAATATACTCAATGTTTGAATTTATCGCTGCCCTATATCGTTATATTTTTATTAACGTCTCTGTAGCCTCATTGTGATGTCACTTTAGCGCGAGTTTTTCCATGTATATTTCTATGCGTGAGCACACACAAAATGGCTTTCAACTCAATTTTACAGTACGCTTAGTAGAAAAAAAAAACAGCAAATGTAATATATATATATATATATATATATATATATATATATATATATATATATATATATATATATATATATATATATATATATATATATATGCGCCTTTTTGTTCAACTTCGAAATTTTAAAGAAGACTGTTACTGACAGTACAGTTTTAGACTTTTAGACTTCAAATGTAGCAATTAATTGAAATATGCAATTATGATAGTCATTATAGTGTATTGCTTTTCTTGTGTCTTGTAAGTTTGAGCCAAAGATGAATATCCTAAGGTTATTCACCGTGTTTCTTCCACACCACCACATATATGAAATTAAGTGCAAGTTATGAAGAATGCTAACATTTGAAGTGATATTAAAATTATTGTAACATTTTAAAATGTTGTTTGAAAAAATGTGTGGAAATTTTTAGATACACGACCAAACTTATTAAAAACCACATAATATTTTTGTTTATTCCCAAGAGATTGTTCTATGTTGTTATTATGACCGATTTCATATATTTTTGTCTGTTTTTATGGTAAGTAGTTGTTAAATGCTAATTACTTGGATTTTTAAAGGCTACATTTGCTAAACTCGGAGATGTTGGAGAAGTCGAAGAAAGTTGAGAAGTATGTAGGGAAAGCAAACAAACTAACTCCTGTTATTCAGTATGGATTTGACACAACCACGTGTTATGGATATATACCCATGGACAACACTTGGCAAGATAACTGGCCGGTAGGAAGACAACTTAACCATGTGGAGGAATATTGAGAAATGTTCAGTTTATTAGATTGATGTTATCTATTTCATGCATTAACTGCACGATTTAAAACATACAAAATTTAACATATTATCTAATAAATAGATGAATAACCACCAAATATACAAACCACTTTACTGATGAAAAATCTAAGTAGACGTTGTATACAGTGTAATAACGTCCAACATGTATTCGCCAAGTTGATCCTTAAACGTTGAAATTTAAAAAAAAAATACATACAGTATTCATGTTGTATATGTTTTGATAGGAAAGTATTTTATGTTTTATTTGTATAATTTAACATTGTTTTATTCATTAGTTATAAAATTTTACATCGTTTTTATTTCTTTATTACAGGATTTTTATTCCAGGAAACTAAAACAACAAATGGATATTTTAGAAGATGTTGTAAGCATTTTAGTAACAATTTTTACGCAGCTTTATTAATCATATACTTATTAATGCATGCAAGTTAAGAATCCCTAAAGTGTTCATATCTTGATATAGAGAAAACTCACCTCATCTTAACAATATAGTTCAAAATTTACTTGATTTTTTATCTAAATTTCAAGGGATACCTAAGCTTACTAGGATTTGAAAATGTTTTGCAATTTTGCTTTTGAAGTTTTCAATGCAAAGTAAGGTTAATAAATCATTGATTATTTTAATATCAATGTCAGTGAAATGCTCTTAAATACATCCTGATAAGGGGGTAAAAAAATGTTAATTGAAATATGCTTTAAATTATTAGAGGATTTTAATGTTTTAATGGATATTAATAAATAAATAATATTATCTGTCTATCAACATTATTTTGGCCAAACGAATTTATCAAATTAGTTTGTTTCTTCTTTTCTTACTAGTCGTCCGGAAACATCGTGAATTTATGTTTTTTAGATAAAATATGGAGATAACGAACAGTATTCAAGTTCAAAGTCCATTTAAACAATACAATCGGGAGCAGAGCAAACACGGACCTCCAAAAACATCGGAGGCGGCACCAGTGAGCATCCCTGCCGACAGTTCACACGCGCAGTGTGCTCCTTGCCATGATTGGGGAAAAACGAAAAAATCCGTATACAATTAAGTGTGTAAATAATGGCCTAACAATTAGTATGGAAAACGTTAGTCAGCATTTGACTTAATGATAAATTGTATTGCTGACAAGGGCATTGTATCCACCATAAAACTTGCAAAGTGATGACTTTAAACGAGACTGTTGATATCTTTTGTTTTTCATCAACTTGTCAATAGCTTGCCTCATTTTAGAAATAGATAGATATAGACAATTGATCTCTTTTTATAATAGACTTAATTATTGATCAACTTTTGTATATACAATGTAATAGCAACAATATGTTTAAATTATATAAAATTGAGTTTATCAGATTCGTAATTAAATAGCTAGTATTCTCATTTGAAATTGTTAAAAATGTGAATAATTTACTATATTTTGGTCAGTCGTTTCTCTACTTTTAAAAAATAATGCAATTACTTATTTTAACAAATAAGCATACTGCTTTCAATTGATTCCATTAGCTTTGAAATCCTAAAATGTATGTCCTAGCATGAAACTATGCATGAAAGCCTGCATCCCGATAAATGTAGGTATCATTTTCACGCCTACCTGACAGTTTTATTATATGAAACGTCTTTGATACTTTATTCAATGTATATTTTACTCAAAAGCATCGCGACAAAGAAGCAAGGGAGTTGTGGTCTGAATTACAAGTGAAACTACCTGCGTTATTTGACAATTTAAATAACATTCAACCAGCCCTAATGCATGGGGATCTGTGGAAAAAGAATGTTGGCGAAAATGAATATGGACCAGGTACAAATGCATTTTACATTTATTAAACATACATGGAGTAAAGAGTAAAGATAACGGTGAAAATTCTGTTTCAGATATACTTACATAAGTTCTAACAAAATTAATAATTTCATTAATTCACACTGTATTTAATTGTCTATATGTTATTAATGACTGTGTGTTCATTATAGTGGTTTTTGACCCTGCGAGCTTCTATGGCCATTCTGAGTTTGATTTAGCCTTGACCAGGACGTTTGGTGGCTTCAGTGCATCATTTTTTGACAACTACCACAGGCTTATTCCACAGGCCCCTGGCTTCAGACAGAGAGCAGATCTATACGAACTCTTCTTTTATCTCATTCATTGGTTAGTGTCATTTTTACACTTTTACGACATCTTTTGACATTTTTAATGATGTTTTTAAGTTTCCTACTTTTGTCTAAAAAACTGCATTATTCAACTTTCGCTTTATATTTGCAAAGACTGAATACATTTGAATAGAAGTTATGGAAAACTTGAAAATTCCTACGCAAGTACATGCTGCACTGTGTAATTTTTATAACAGACATCGTTTACATTGGTATAGCAAGAAGATAAAATAGATACATTTGATACTTTTTTTAAAAAAAATTATTATTAAATAAAGTATTTAAGTTTCAATGCTATTTTTTCTGATATATATATATATATTTTCTTATTCTCTGAGCTGCAAATTAAAATACAATGTAATTTTTTTTAAAAAAAAAAGAATGTTCTACAATCCACATAGAACTCTACAAATTGAATTAAGTACTGAAGATCAAATTAATAAACTACCCGTTTTTTATTTATTGTTCGACTATAATAAATCTTTGGTAAATTTACAAGTTTTATAATCATTTCACTTCGTATAGCTCAGTATTTACAATTTTTTTTTTCATAAAAGTGATCGATTTGATATTATTTTAAGTAGAAGTCTTGATTTCAGGAACCATTTTGGAATGTCATATAGAGATCAGTCCATTTCAGCATTTTGTCGCTTACTCAGGATCAGATGAGCCATCAAAGATTGCCTCTAGTAGTGCTACATTAAAACCTAAAGATTCCAGATCTTCGTCATACTGAAGAATACGTGAAGAAAGTAGTGATGAAAACGTTTTACAGTGATTTTTTATCTGTCTTCAGTTGATTACATTACATGATTGTTGATTACAATTTGTATTGAACCTACATTTTTTATTATTACTTTGACTTCATTGGAAAAATCGGTTTATGAGAAAAACATGTTGTGAGTAAATTTTCATTTCCCATTTTGCAAGATTAAATCACAAAAGTCGGTATACCACGTATTTTTTATTACTTATGACAACTAATGGAGCAATCGGAAAATCACGTATTTTCAATCGAGTCGAGAACATCACTCGGCCTTTTCCGTCAAGTTGAGAAAAACAGACGTGTTATTGAATGACGGAAGAGGCCGAGTGATTTACAATTTCTAATGGAATGCATTTAAATTTCAGTTGGTGTGGTTTAAAGTCATTAATATATTTGAAAGAAACTGTCAGTAGGTTATAAGCATGTTTATAAATGCTAGTTAACAAACCATACTTCTCAAAATTCATAAGACATAACAGTGAGAGTACTCTTGAAAAAGGGTCAAGGTCAGGTGGATTGTAACGTTGATATTGTCTAATGACAAACAGTGCACTTGCCAAAAAGCACAAAATTGCCTCTTAAAAAGCAAAGAATATGTGTATATCAGCACTATGATGTATTTTGAAAAATAGGTCAAAGGTCACAAGGTCGATATCTCTGGTATTTTACAAAATAAAGTCATTATTCCAAGCAATAACTGAGCCAAATACTAGTATCAAATCCCAACCTTTAATTGTTCTTAAGATATAAGGTGTGACGGACGGACGGACAGAGAGACAGACACCGGGCAAAGTAATCCTTAACGAGGTTGGATCCTGATATTTAAAGTCTTAAACTTTTTTTGTCAAGTATATTTTTAGTTCCTACACATATAGCTTAATTAAAAATCAAAACAAAAAATGGGGGTCAGTACGCTTCTTTTGGCACTACAGTACATTTAATATGACCTTTTTGCACTGAAATTTGTGTCTTAATCAAAAATCACATCTTCGACGTTTTCCCTCCAATGTTTTTATCCAAATAAATCATGGGACAAATTAAACTTTTAGTCTATTTAAAAAAAGACACTTCAAAATTGTGACTAAGAAAAAGTTTCAAATTGCTTCGCATAATCAATTATTTGACCTTTCTGCACTCAAAAGATGTGATTTTTCTGACATTAAAAATTTAACAAGCAAGAAAACTATTTTAAAGTCTTAAACTTTTTCTGAATTTAGACAGATTGATCAAAGTTATCTTATATATTCAGAAAATAAAAACAAAAGTGGGGGTCTATGATGTAAATTTTTAGATATTACTAAAAAAGTGTTAATTTTAAGTTAAAATTGGCTAAATTTTCTCCTGGACTTTCAGAATATATTTACTATATTTGTCACAATATAATGAAAGAATTCATAAGAAATAATTTAATAGATATTTCAGAACCAGCATAAAACATTTCACTGCAAAAAAAACAGCTCTGTGTGCAACCAGCGTGGAAAAATAGGAATCTAAACTTAACAGTACTGTATATATTTCAAAAGGAGACAAAATGATCATTTTCTCCTAAAAAAACCTTCCGCCACAAAATATAGTTCCTGGCTTAATCCTCTTTGAATGGAATTTAATTGTGGTTTTTTCAATGGATATAGTTTAATTTGCATTGTAGAATTCAGATTTAATGTTTGAACTTAAAAATGATTCAGAATTTTATAAATAAAGGTCCAGACCAAAATCTGCTCAAAAGCTCAGGATCCAACCTCCTTAAGTGTCGCTCTGCTCTGCAGGCGACACAAAAACTAGTTTGGTTTTATTATCTTGGGTTGATTATAAATCGAAATATTTAAGGATAAATAACAAAATAAACTTTTTTTTTCAGAAATCAGCAAAATTTCGCATAATATTTAAATTGGTAACCCGAATAATGTTTGCCAGGCAAAGTGGGAGAATTTTGTAAATTTTTTTCATAATGTTAAAAATTTTGCAAACTTTTGTATAGAATTACAAAGAAAGCGACACAAAGTGTCGCATATATCCAACCACTAAAGAAAACTTAGGATTTCTCAATATTTTAGGGATTTATTATTTATGTCATTTCTATTCAGAATCAGACAAAAATATATATCAATCCATGCATCAAATTTTTGTTTGTGTTATGTATCCTTAACACTGATAAAGATTTTCTAGCCCTAATATTTTTACGTAAACTTGAAGGATCAATTTTTCTTACTTTTACTAAATTTATGTTAACTTGATGAACATTATCACTGATTATAATGAGTCTAACGTGTTTCTTTACTGTCGAAGCCTAAAATACACACTCTCAATCGCTGTCAACTTGAATTTATACTTATGAAATTGGTTCAAGATTAGGAAACTGCAAACACTTTTTTTGTGAAGTGGACTGCTATATATCTTATACATGTATCACTGTTTGAGAGAAGAATCAAAGTTCAAATTACTTTAAAAGCTAATCCATCTTAAAGTATGTATATACCTGGTATGAGCATGGCGTTGTAGTGTATATATGCATGTAGTATTAAATAAAACATTTGCAGGCCTGTAGCAACGGTTTAAAAGTTAGGGGACCTCCCAAAAAATATTAAGCAAAATTACAAAAAGAAAGCAAACAAACAAAGCAAAAATCGTAAACTGTCGAGACTCGTAAATCCTTTTTTTTTGTGGGGGGGGGGGAGGGGGGGTCCTCTAACTGCTTGATACATTTTTATTTTTTACATCAAATGCTGGAATTTGCCAGTATTCGACCCTACAGCAAGTGGGGAGAGGGGGACAGCATCTAAATGAAAATTTACTTATCAAAAAAACAGCAAAAAGGCTAGACTCAGAAAAATGAGGAGGGCGTTTTAAGGGCTTAATTTATTTTCAGATATGTGAAGATCTCATGGGTTTTTGCCATAGAGAGGTAATTTGAATACATTTATGTAACCTTTTTTTATATTTTGATGTTACAACTATATAATAATGGTAATGATATAGGTCAATACATAAAACAAGTGAACAATGTCAACATTTCCTCATAATTTTCTGCACCAATTGTTGCAACTGTGAAATATTTAATCATTTAAAGAATGCTACAAACAACATTAAGTCCCAATTAAACTTACTTAAGTATTATCAATTAGCACCACGGTAGATGGTCTGTATCTACATTTCCACCACTCAATATAACGCCTATATTCTTCATTTTGGTATCCATGGCCGCTAACCTTTCTGACATCACTGCCGCTACACCTATAGCTGAAGTTGGCTCGATCACCAACTATTAAAAGAAAATACACAAATTTCATGCATTGAAACTTTTTTTAAATTTTGAATGTGGGTTTTTGAATTATATTTGACCAATTCTTGATAATAATGTGTTTGTTGTTTATATGCATTACGCCCCTCAATGAATACATATTTTGCCGATGGAGGACTTTACGGCCATTGAGTTCTGAGGGATTTTTTTCATGTCAGCATATACTTCGACAAGAGACCTCGGTTTATAAGTGTAAGGTCTTATCCAAAGATACGTCCTGTCCTGGGGTTCAAACCAACGACGTAAGGATCAACTTCCTACCCGTGACCCGAGTTCAAGGTGTAACCTTCGAGCTAACCATTGCAGAATGCTGGCGTCTAATAATTACAATACAGGATAAGCTGGCAAATTAAAAAATGTAATTAAGAGGGGTAAAAAATTACCTTCAATCTTTCAAATACAAATTTCATTGCCTTTATTATGTCTTCGTCAGTCTAAAAAGTTTAAAAATAAAAAATACTACATAAGATTAGCCATAAAACAAAATAATATTTACAAACTCTACAATTTCATTTTGTTTCAAAGTCTTAAAAATTTACGTTACTTGACAATTTTTTCTCAGAAAAATCAATGGCCCTTTTATCCAAAGAGGGTCAATATTTATGATTGCCAAAATGTCATAATCAAACACGTGTAGAAATTGGCGAACAAAAACGAACCATACCACTGAAAATACTTCTTTTTCTACAAAATCTAGAATGATAGGCCATGTCAATTTCCCTATTGGTTGTAGCCTTAATCCGTCTGCTATTGTGTGCAGAAATTTAGGGGGATCGGACCAGAGGCGTGTTCCTGGGAATAACAGTTATATATCTGACATACTCGACATGTTATTGGCAACAGTAGGAACATAACAATCTTCACACACAACAATCTGTTTTCTTCATAAACGAAGTTCCAAGATAAAAAAACAATCATTTTTGAAGAAATGTAGAATGCACTCTTAATTAATAATTACCAAAATTCTGAAGACAGATATTATCTGTTTTCATGCAACTATCTTTAAATGAGGTAATTGCAATTTACCTGTTTGGAGGCACAGTTCGCACATTTTCCCTTCCGGTTCAATCAAAAACACTGTTTCAAAGAAAGGAACCGATTCTTCATCGTTTAGGATAACAAAACTTCATAATGATAACGGACTAAATACTGGAATGGCCAATATCTGTCCCTAAAATTACACTTTGATGTACTTATAATTTATGTGCTAATTTAATTTAATAATTGTATTTGCAGCTAGACTTTAAATGAAGCATTCAGTACAAATTCTTTAAGCAAAGCGTCATTAGTTTGATATGACGTCAAAAAATGACGTAAATTCAAATTTTGGATGATTTGGAGAGCAAATGGTGTATTTTGTGCTAAAATTTCGATTATAATTTATGGAGCGCAGGTCTGCTCAGAATCGATCTTTTGATATTATGAAAAATGATAATATTATTGAAATATGTTACTATTCTACCAGAGCAAGTTTGCACTGTGTAAATACTATATAGTCAAAATTGAAAAAAAATTCTATATATAGTGCTGTTTCTTACAAATAATAAAAATGCCAATTACTTGGTATCGACACAGAGACAAAAACTGCCAATAATCTTTTTCCAAACTATAATATACATGTATTTTTCTAATTCAGATTTTTGTACAATAAACAAATGTGGATATTTCTCGAGATTTTCAAAATTTCACTTTTTGGGGGAGGAAATATGTCTTAACCGCATATAGTTCTTTACGAAAAATAGATAACTTTCTACATTCTAGGCATGTGGATGTAAATTGAGTTCAGAGGCCTGTTCAATAGAATGAACGTTCGCGAGCGCTCGCAAAAATTTCTGTTGGAGAGATAGAGAATTTTGGCGAGCGCTCGCGAACGTTCGCTCTGTTGAACAGGCCTCAGATCTTGACGAGTGCAGTGAAACCCATTCCTCACCTTTGATATTTGGTTTAATCGCTTTAGCTGCTATTGCAATCCCTGAGGCCATTCCTCCACCACTAACAGGAACCAAAATGGCGTCTAATTCTGGCACTTGCTTCAAAAACTCTACAGCTATTGTACCCTTCAAAATATGTTCGGTTGATCTGTTATCTTGCCATGTTAATTTGGATTTGTCAAATCATTTTGCTTAAAAACGTTCTCAAATTATCATGATTTATGCTACAAATTCCACAAGAATTTTTCCCAATATAGGAAGTATTCAAATCAGATCTACATTAGATTCATTGAATGCATTGTATATATATATATGTATATATATACACGACTGATACAATAGATTTATATGAAATTTTACTGTTTTTGGCTTTGAATGACCAAGTACTATCAAAAGAAACCTCGATCATGTAAATCATATGCGTAGTAAGCTGCTTAATCGAGTAGCGAGCTCCTTTTGATATTATATTTTCTTTGTGTTATTTATTATAATAAACTGAATTATTGATAAATCTGTGGAAATTCGGGGAATTCAGGATCTCCGTTCCATCACCCTTATAACATTTTCATTGTTGATAATAAGCACAATACAGTAACCTACACCACCTATTCACCTCAGTACATGTTTTATGGAAGCTAAAAAGTGTATACTTATAGCTAACGTTTGTTTCTCATTTGAATTGTGTGATTTGTCTGTAAAGGCCATTTGATGCATTTACTTTGTATTTATTAAGCACTTATACCTGTCCTGCAATGATATCATAGTGGTCAGCTGTAGGAACGTATGGAAAATTCTTTTCGTTGGAAATATGGTCACATGTTTTTTTCCTGTGTGATAAAATAAGTGAATCGCTTTTATAAAAAAGAGTTGAAACAGAAAATTAAATATGCAAAGCATTTTGTATTTACATTTACTGTTTTTTTCTTTGAAAACCTTAGTTTTTTAACTAATAGTGTTCTGTATTTAGTACCTCTCGAACATGGCATGTTTCCTTATTGATTCTTAACTTACAGGCAGATATAGTTTGAAATTCATTACCAAACAGATCTTATTTTGACAGAAGGTGTAGCAATTCAATTGTAATTACTTCATAAAACTATCACAGTTTCGAAAAAGAAATATATTTCAAACACCCACTTCGATCAATGGAGAAATTAATTAACGTCAAGTCTCCGCTTTTAGTATTTCGTTTATCTTTCAGATTATTTTGCACACTTGACAATTCTAAAGAGTGCTAAATGTAATAATGGAAATTATAAATGTTTTTGTTGCTTTTTAGATACATGGACTGAAAAACTCTTCCTAACCTGTCCGAAGGAGATTGACAAAATACAAGTTCAGCTCCATAGCCTTTAATGGCTTGACACTTTGTTTTTGGTGTATCTTTTGTAACAACTACTATACATTCCACTTGGGCGATTTTGGAGGCCCAGGCCAAAGCTTCTCCATGGTTTCCACTGCTGTGAGTGACCTTCAAAATCAAATATGACCCTATATTAAGACGAATTTAAAATCCGTTTTTCGTATGTTTTCAGAATAAATGCATTATAAAACAAGAGAAAAAACTCGTAAGGTGAGAGGGAAGGAAGTATAAATGATAAAAAATGGAAAACAAACATAATACTTAAGTTATTACTGTTTAAAAAAATGTGGAAAAAACTTACAACGCCTTTAACATACGGGTTCTTGGATTTTAGTGCCAGAACCTGAAATAAACATTGTACTGAAACCTCACGCTGTATAAACTAGCAATAAATAATTTGAGGGGGAAAAATAAAAACAAGTTGCTGTCCTTTAAAAAAGGAACGCAATACGTGGACCATATGCATGTGTTTCTAACCGAAATCCAAAGAAAATTTCTAGATTCATGAATATACATGTAGGTGTGAATAATTTTTTTATCTTGAAATATAAAATGGTCATCGCTATTTCAGTCTAATTAAACTGTAATAACAAATATCAGGCCTTAATATGAAATGTTGATCTAGGCATCTTTCACAATTGTAATATATCCTTTAAAATTTAACCAAAAGAGATTTTAGAGTGCAGGTATCATAATACATGTAGTTGAATTTTGTAGTTGCAGAGAAAGAGAGAGAGAGGAGAATTTTTTTCTGTAATATAAATATTTTTGCATCTGATATTCTGAATAAAATTAAATAGTTCAATCTCTGCCCTTTCTGCTCGGTAGATATAGTTTCGCGTATTTGTTTTCCTCCGTGTACTTTCACAATCCCGGCCCCGAGTCCCGACCACCCACAAGTAACATGAAAATTTTCAGTTTGATATCATCGGAAGTGCCGGCGAACTTAAGCTATGCCATTTTTGGACCATCTTCTGAAGTAACCAACTTTAAGAAGTATTCATAAAAAGTCATGAAAGGAAATATGCGTAAGAGAATATTCCTCTCCTTATGGGGTATTTTCATGGCCCTAGGAACCGGGGACTTTGGGGGGGGGGGCGGGGGCTTTGCCCCCCCCCCCCCCGATAATTTTGCCGATATATAGAAGACTATAGAAAAACATAGGTAATAAATGCTCCTACCCCCTCAATGAAAACGTCTGAAGACCCCCCCCCCTTATTTTGTTTGCTTGTCTGGTCTGATTTTAATCAATGAGGAGAAATGTTTAAAATGTTCCTGTAGTATGCGGGTGGAGGGGGGCTCGAGTTTTCTGAAAATAATCTTTTACTATAGTTTTAATATATAAATTCTAATTTGCATTGAAAGCTCCCCATGCACCTTTTGTTACCGGAAGTCAAAATACGGCAATTCAAACTTTTGAAAGAAAAAATGTACCGAAAAGTTAAAGCACCCCCCTCCCCCTGCATTGGGATTTTACATTGTGGTGCACAGGTTGTTAGTGTAGGGTGTTTTTGTAGTTTATTGCTTGTCAACTCTTTTTAGAGGTTGCCCCATTTGAAAACCGTTGCTACGGGCTTGAAGTTCTTTCTAATTTTTAAAATGCTTGTACCATAGAATGTTTAGTTTGCATATAAGTACGAGGGTTGTTAGAAAAGTTCGCGGACACATTGATTTACAGAAAATTTGCTGTGTACTTTGAAGACTGATGTTTATCTGATTAAATTCTTATCTTTTGTTTATATGTAAAAACTCAGGTTCATTCACTAAAATTTTGAAAATATACAATGATTTATACTGTGCGGTCATAGGGTTCACGGAGCAATAACGAAATTTTTTTTTTGACGTTAGGTGACGTGACAACATGATTCCAAATCTGTCAATTTTATCACAGTTTAAAATATCTTTCATTTCTATAGATTTTTCATGTCTTTTTCCTACTTAAAAATTAAATAACTATATTAAGACATTAAGACATGATATTTTTTTTTCTAAAACGTCATTTGTGGAGTGCCGGATATAAGTGAGATCTTAAAATGAATGTCTACACAGTTAATCGATCAGGTATGGAAACAATGGAAAATCCATAGCCGCAACGTCCGTGCGATATGTTGGGTTTTCGGGAAACTCAGGAGTTGATCATCAAAAATGTCTATCCTTCCATTCTTACAAAACTACTACCCCTTGAACACTTTGGTCCTAAGTACGTGTAGGCAATCCCCAGCAGCATCTAAAAACATTTTAGACTCTTTTGGGCATTTTCCTGTCGGCAGACATAATTTTTCAATAACTCGGTGCTCCAAGACGTTCAATGACGTTGCCATTCTTAACTTTTTTTAAGCATTGATCATCTATAATTATCGATAAAATAGTCACATCCCCTCCAATTCAATTCAAATTTTCGCCAAATGACGTTTCATGAATATTGTAGCAACAGGTGAAATATCATAAATCTCTATGCGCCACAACAGTACAATTCTGAATTTAAAAAACCCGTCTATGTTATGTAAACGTGTGAAAAAGTGACATGCTCCGTGAAGCATGTTTTTCCTAAATAATTTGGCTGTATATTTTTTAAGGATCGTTGCAAAACACCAAATTTTTGCATATTTATAAAAAAAAAATACGCATAGTTTTTATCTGCAGGGTTTTACCGGTTTCGTGCAAATAGCGCTCTCACAATAGAACTTGTCCGCGAACTTTTTAACAACCCTTGTATATAATAGTATATTCGGATCTTGGATACGCTAATAAATCAACAAATACGATATGCAGATTTTAAGCGAGGTTTGCCAATGATTGGCCTATTCTAATTCGAATAGGACGAAATGTTCTCAGGGCAACTTGCCCAAGGGATGAACACTCTCTAGCATTCTCGCGCATGCTTAACCTGACGTAAGCCCAGGGCATCCGGTTTAACCTCGCTGATATATTTTTCTGCGTGGACCTCAGGGTCCACGCAATAATTTATATATTATTACCGCATTTAATGCTCCTCTCGCTTTGAATGATCCTGTTTTCTGAAAATTCTCAGCTTTGAAAAACACTTTTCTTCCAACAAGATGGTCTAGAGTTAAATTGGTAAAGACAGGGGTAGTATGAACATAATGGGAAATAGTTTCATATGCCATGTTGATGTCTTGAATTGTAACTGCATTCGCCATCTTACATTTTTGTGTCTGAAAAAGTATGCATTAATATATAATATAAATAAACCTATAACTTCTTTAAATACACACCAAGAAAGCAATAATCTAGCGTTAGTAATATTTTTAGTATAAAGACACGTTAAATTTCAAATGGTGGGCTAAGAGGTGCAATTTTTACCTTTAAATGACTTCTAATTTTGCTTTGAATTTTTAAATTATAGAAGATGAAATGTTAAAATTGTGAAGTATTTTAAGATAGTATCATATTGTTATTTTTAAATTCATTAAGAGAAGGTAAATGCAAAATTTAAGTTATCATTTTGTAAATTTTGCATTTACTTCCACCTAATAAATTTAAAATTTACAACAAAATAATATCATACGAATAAAAAAAAAATCTTAAAATGAGAACTTGACACACAGTTGTATTCCTTGGTGTTGTCTAACTATACTTAAATCATTTCGACATGATTTATTAAGTCTGTATTAATAAATACATCACCGTTCATGAAAACAATAATAATTAGTATTTGTGCTTTGCAAACCCCCACAATCCCCCTCTCTCATTCAAACTTCTGAACATTTAAAAATTAAATGATCAATTAACACTACCTGCCTAAAACTGACTTAGAATACTTCCAAGAGAAAACCAAAATACTTTTGAGTTGATCCCTTCTCCCTGAATTTTTTTCTTAATTTGTCCCCTCCTCTTGTATCTTAATAATACGATTTTTCCTATTGCATTGTGCACAGGATATGAACCCCTACGCTCCTTCCCATGAAATTCCTGGATCCGCCCTTAATAAATTTGAATCCCGATCTCTTGGTATTAAATATGAAGTAATACAGTAAAGATCTCTCTTTTTCTCTACACTCGGTAAGTGTCAATTATTTTTAAGACAATTCTAGACATGTGGCAAAGTAATAAGTTGAAAACATATATTCATTTTAAAGCAGTGCATTTTTGAGAATTTATTTTGATGTTAAAATGTGATTTTGTGATAAATCTGTATGTAACTTAAATTAATCTAAAATAAAGTATTAAATTGTTTCAGAAGAAAAATTTCTGTACATTGGTATGTATAGTATTATACAAGAAATTGTACAGGACGACAATAATGTAATTGTGCTTCAATCAAAGCTTAAAATGTTCTTCCCTCACAAATATAAAAAAAATAAGTTTATAAAGTTTCTTTTTTCTGTCATTGAAATAGTTTATTACAAAACTGCAACAAAAATTTCCGACATCAAAGTTGCAGCTCATATTGCTTTAAATAAACAAACCAAATAACGAATGACAAAAAAAAAAGCTGAAGTATGGTGATAGATAACAGATGCCGTAGATTCTAGGGCAAGAGTTTATAGGTCAGTAGACCAATTTATGTGAACGAAAATTGCATAAAATATGTTTCAAGCTTTAATACCAGAAAATTTATACAGACACGAATAATTCTCCATATTTCTCATTTAACAAAGACGAACAACACCAACTCAAAAGAAATAAAGGTTACCAACTATTACTATAACTTTTATGCCTCCTCCTATACTAAAACCTTTGGAGCATCAAGTTAACAGACTCCTTGTGTCTTAACTTTGTTTTCTTTGAAGTCTTTCAAATCTCAAATTCTTATAGATTGTAAATTTTTTTTCGAAACAAATTAAAACAAATACTCGAATCAATATTTTACATCTTAATCATGGTAAAATAAATAAAGTTCACATTTACCGTCTGAATTGCTGTGTTACTGAAAAGTAAAGGCCAGAACCCACCTTGATTCGCCTATGGAGAATTTTGATCCATGATAAAAAGCACATTAAAACAAATAGTTCTACACATAATGTAGTTTTAAAGGCAGATGATACAAACTTTTATCAAAAATCATGAAATAACAACTAAAGTCGTGTTTATAAAAGTGAAATGAATAAGTTTAACCACAAAGATTTTAAATTTTCATTCAAAGTTTCACAATGATTTGGTTTAAAGTGATAAAAAGTTTTAGAGATTAATAAGGATGATTGTTGAGAGGGAGAATTTTGAACATTAAAGAAAGTAACAATTTCATAATATTTAGACGCATTATTTTCAATCAAAATAGATCCAAAAATATATATCTCAATCCAGACATCCATTTTTTAACTAACTCTTACTTTCACATTTTAAAACTTTTTTTCTCCTAATTAAAAAAATGTAGTGAATTTTATTGATATTACAGAACGTTGATGAAGACTACATGTAAGTAAATTCAGAGAACGCTTAGATTACCCTATAATTAATTGCTCTGTCATAAAACTTTCTTGTTGAAATGTTATTCATTTCTTACACAAAGTGGTTTTGATTTAACTAATTACTTTTCTAAATGAAAGTAATGGTAATTTTAATAGAAAATTTCAATGAAATTGTAAAATAAGGTATTACACTTCAAAGTAATTGACCACATGTCTGAATTTTGAAGAACATCATTCATGTTATATGTCAACTAGTATCTATCAATATCTGGTTATATGTTTTTATATTTATTGTTTCATGTGATGCGGAATAAAAACCAAAAAGAAAAAAAAAGACCAAGATAATTCAGAAGTTATTTTATACAGGTATATTTATAGTGTTTCATGTTAAGGAAGTAGTTCTTGAATCTTGATAAAAATTATATGAAAATTATTAGTATAATTAGCATCAAAAAAAAAAATAAAAAATAAAAAATAAAACAGTTCTGATTCTGCTAGGCTCTTAAATAAAATTCACTACAGCAGGAAAAAACAGAAAAAAATGTTCGGAAAATTTATCCTGATTTTTAAACGATTTCTTTATGAGAATTCTAGTTGTAGAATTAAATAAAAGGCTGATTCAATAACAGTGTTTTTTTTTTAAATGAAGAAACTGAGATTTAAATTGTTAATATGCAGTATGTTAAAGGTGAGGAAAATGAACAGAGATCAAGAATAGGAATCGTGAACAGGGCAACAAAAAAGAGCCTCTGGAAACACCAAAGTTGGGATCAGGTGTCTAGGAGGAGTAAACATCCCCTGTCAGGTCAATGGAGTACTCCGTAGTCAACATTTTATAAAAACATGGCCTAATAATATATAGGTAGAGAAAATGTCAGTCAAAACTTTCAACCTGTAAACGGGATGTGCGGCGATGTTGCTTAGATGTCATTTACAGTGAACTTAAATTACAGATTGATCTTGTCATTTGAAGGATTCACTGCTTGAACTGTATTATAGTTTTGATGGGTTCTTTGATTATATCTGTACGTTTATCACCCACATGCAGTTTGAGGATACTAAATGAAATTCAGCATTTTTCTCCCGTATGAATTTGATTATTACTTAAAGATCTGTTAATATGCATAATACATTCCCCTCTTCTTCAACGATTTAAAACACAGCGAGATTACTCATTGTGCTCCTTTAATAACCGACCTGTCTTTATATTCCTGTAAAGTAGAATTTATTTAAAAACTTGTACATGAGGAGAAAATACTGTTCTGTCCATCAACTCTACATTTTGATACTAGTATATCGACGACGTTCTATCAATTAACAATTCTCAAATTCATTCATATGTCGATTCGATATATCTCATTCAATTCGAAATTAAAAAAAACCCCAGTAATTAAGGTCAACATCTAGTAAATGACTTTAGACTGTCTTTTTGGTGCTAGATCCATTATGACATCATAATCAATTTCAATTTCTTTTTCCCGTACTTTACGGCTCTAATAGAATTATGTAGAAAATAAAGTATTTTCATGGAATTCAATTTGAAACATTGTGAAAAGTAATCCCGATACCTATATTCAGTTTAATATTATTTTAAAGAAGAGGCCGAGAACATACAAATTACCGTTTTCTGAGAGACTGTAGGCAATCTGAATACATTTCCTTTGTCTATTATGGAAAAAACTCCCGTATTCATGAGTGGTTTTCTTAATTTTTCATTGAAAATGACAGTTTTCAATATGATTTTTCGTCTTGTTTGCCTACAAATTATGCCCCGAAACACCTTATTTGACCAAGCTAAAGTTATAAAGCATCATAAAAGGAATTTATTTCTCAAACTTGAGAAATCTCTAGGCACCTTTCATTTACTAGATCTTGACCTTAAAGAGTCTTTCACAGCTTTTTCATGCATGGTTGGATGTTTTACTGGCTGTAGACGATAATGACCAACTATAATAACAAAATTGTACGACAAACGGGATGACATCAGCTTTTCCATTGTCAACTTTCCTTATTTATGTAATGATATTCCAGCATCACCTGCATATGTTTATTGTTCGATACGCAAAGACATGCTCTGACTGCGATTAATTTTTAAACCGAGGCAAGCTACTGACAAATAAGTTGATTTTACAAGGATTTTAACAACCTAGTTTAAAGTAAACTTTTCGTAACTTCTACAGTCGTTATAATGGCCTTGTTTGTGAAAACAACCTTTCTTTGTGTCGTGTTTTTTTTTGTTTTTTGTTTTTTTTTTTGGTCTGACATGTTTCTTTCCATTTTTTGGGTCACTGCTTTTATACTAAATTTGACTACGGAGTACTCCGTCTACCTCAAAAGTCAAAAACATAGGACTCACGGACGGTGTGACCGATCGACAGGGGATGCATTCTCTCCTTATACACCTTATTCCATCTCTGATGTTTCCAGGGGTCCGCGTTTTTGTCTTGTTCACGATTTGTTTTGTTTAGCGGATTTATGAGATTGATCACTATTCCTTATCTTATATTTTTTTTTATTGCTACTGCTAATGGGCCTGGCTCCTGTTTGAAAAAGTTCTTACAACTAAGTTTAAGACTTTTACACAGAAGATCTTGCTAAGTTAATAATGTTGTGAGATTGTACTGAGAATAAATTTACATAACTGAATTCTTATTCATATTAAACAAGTTAAAATAATAATTTTCTTCAACATGAAGAGTAAGTCAAATTTCAAGAGTAGATTTTGTTCTTTTTTGTAGAATACAACCTTCGTTTTTAACTTATGTAACTGTTGATTTGTGCAGTTACACTTTGCAAAGATGTTAACTCTAGAGATTCCAAGAGCTTGTTCGCTGTTTAAAAATATCTGCTCAGTTTCAAATTACTAGTATTTGCGGTGGTGTTAATCAAACAGCAATACAATTGAAAGATACAGGCAGGTAGTCTGTGGTAACTGTGATCGCTTTGCTGACAATTTATCTTGCTAATTGATTGAAATTTGGGGGGTTGACCCCCCCTCCCCCGCGCCCATTTTATTTATGTATCGGGAATTCTTTGGCCTTTGGATTTCACTGCTAATTCTATTTCTTTCATATATATTATCTTTATATGCCCTTAACTATCTTTGGCATTACATGCACCTACCATTCGTTTTTCCTAATTGTGACATTCAGTGGTCCATTCAAACTTGCTAGGTTCCAATCGTAACATGACTTGGTTTTGCAGATCGACTCTTGCTTATGAGACTATTTTCTTTGGCTGTGACAGCCTCGTGCATATGGAATCTAGTTGAATGCGTAAAAAAGTATTCAGATATTTTGTTAACCCCTCTGATGATTGATCTACGAGAAAAATTCCACCCAGATACTAGTATATAATCATTCAGACACCTATCCTAAGCAGATTTGTGATCATTTCATTATTCTTTTTAATGTTCGTTACCCTATAAAGCAGAGCGAAAGAGCGTGAAGGCATTTGTACTGCGTCATTGCCCCTCCCAACATATGAACCTTCATATCTGTTTTTTGAACAGAGACTTAGAAATTAGTATCATTTAGATATACCAGGCACTTTCACCATATAGTCGATTTCTTTTCATCTTTGTATCTTGTGAAAGCTTTCCATTCCGAAGTGCTCATATACGACAGACTTGTTCAGTTTTGAGATTGAAAAAATGTCTGTCATTTCTTTTTCTGGGAACAAACAAAGTGCTAAAGATTACACTAGACCGATTTGGTAGAAAGAAATCTTTTTATAATCTCTGCCACGCTTTTGTTTACCATTTCGAGGATTTCCACATGTAGAATCACCTCTTCTTTCAAAGAAACCTTTGTTATTGTATTTTAGAAGAACTAGGTTTAATTTCTCATCTAGAAATCCAACATATAGCCGTAGTTCACTTTCCAAGGATGTAATTCTTCAATATCTCATCGTCAGCTTTCCTTTTTTTATGTAGTGCATGTATTATTTCACTATCACCTGCATATGGTTTTTATATGTCTCTCAACTTGCTCGATACTCAAGAGCATGCTCTGAATGCGATCCTTTCGTTTTCCCAGGCAGGCTACTGACAAATAAATTAATTTCATAAATTAATGTAGGGATTTTAACAACCATTTCGTAAATTTCATTGTCGTTATAATGACCTTGTTTGCAAATACAACTTATCCTTTCGTATTTTGACTGACACATTGCATACCAATTGTTAAGCCTTTGTTTTTATACAAATTGTAAGCACGGATTATTCCGTCTACCTGATCAGGGGATGCATAGATACACATCCTAGGCACCTGATTCCGCCTCTGAAATGTCAAGGGATCCGTCTTTTATGCCCTGTTCACAGATTTGTATCTTTAGGGGAAGTTATTTTGAGATCGGTCACTGTTAGTTATCTTTACGTACTAGTATTTCACTCTGAACTTTGAAATGACATTTGTGAAAAATATATTTTGTACTGTCTTATACGATTGAAAGTACGTAGGTCTGATGTTATTTTTCCCCCGTTTTCTCTGAAATTTCTGTCTTCCACCTGATGCAATCTGCTTTTACTCTATGAATTGTCTTGAATATTTAATTACTATGTAAAACTTTGATCCTCCACTGTGGCCCCGCCCTACCCCCGGGGGTCATGATTTGAATAAACTTAAATCTACACTACCTGAGGATGCTTCCACATGAGTTTCATCTTCCCTGGCTTTGTGGTTCTTGAGAAGATTTTTAAAAGATGCTATTAATTTTTCACTAATTCTTTATTATCTCCCCTTGAAAGAGGGCGTGGCCCTTCATTTGAACAAACTTAAATCCCCTTTAACCAAGGATACTTTGTGGCAAGTTTAGTTGAAATTGGCCCAGTGGTTCTTGAGAAAAAGTCGAAAATGTGAAAAGTTTACAGACGGACGGACGGACAGACGGACTACAGACAAAATGTGATCAGAAAAGCTCACTTGAGCCTTCGGCTCAGGTGAGCTAAAAACAAAGCTACTTATGTGCCCCCTAAATAATTACTTCTGATAACCTTTTTCTAAAAAAAAAAAAATTATTTTATTTTATGATTTTTCTAATTATTATTTTTTTTAAAATTCTTTTTCACCTTGTCAAGGAGTTTTTGTTTGAAAGTGCCCCCCCCCCCCCCCCCAATAAAGGAAGCTGAAATTGCTTCATTTGGGCCTGCCACCTTAGCATTGGGTAAACAGATTTGATAGTTCTAATAGATATATATAAAAAAAAATATCTTTGATTTTCACATTTTTATTTAAAAATCAATCTTGATTAAAAAAAATATAATTATATATATTCAACATTAATTAATAATTATAAATACATGTAATATAATATTATGGTAAAAATGATATCAATAAAAAATAATAAATATAATTATTGCATAAAATGATTGTAACAACCAGAAATTAAGTATTTTTATATATACCTGTTAATTGAATACCATATATGTTTTAATTATCATTTGACTGTAAGCACCATTATTGGAAATATATCATAAGTACCCATTTGAATCAAAACTTTTTAAAAAAAAAAAATCAGCACCACGGCAGATTGTCAATATCTACATTTCCACCACACAATATAACGCCTATATTCTTCATACTGGGATCCATGGCCGCCAATCTTTCTGACATCACTGCGGCTACTCCTGCCCCTGAAGCTGGTTCTATCACCAACTGTTGAAACAAAAACAATTAAAATTGAAAATCTATACTGCCCATGATATAAGTACATGAACATGCACATTTTAGACATCATATGATTTGGAATATATGTATTAAACTAATTTTGTGATGAATTCACTTTTTTGTTATTATTTAATAAATGTACAAAGTAGTGTTGTGGCTAAAAAGAGGAAAGTAATACACATGTAGCTCTTTTATTGGAAATATTCTGCGCTATATACATACATGTAGTCACATTTCAACTGATCTATTGAGTAAACAGAAATAAAATTTATAATTGTTTTAAAAATAGACAAAACATAGCTGACCTTCATTCTTTCAAAGACAAATCTCATTGCTTTCACAATATCTTCATCTTTCTACAATACAGAAGACTTTTAATAAATATTCAATATTTGAACAACTCTGTTAGCCCAGTTTATGCACAAGATTTTAGCAAACTGTATATTTTGGGAGCATTCAAAGGTTACATAAATTATAAATGTATTCAAAAAATGCTGTAAAAATTAAGTTAATTTTCAGTGTGACTAGCGTTGCAAAATCAGACCAAATTTACTTATTATCAAATTGAATAGGCAGCATACAATGGATTGTAAGATTCATGGTTTGAACTTTTAATAGGTTACATAAAATAAAGTTAACCATGTAAATATTCAGATATCCTCGTAAATGAAAAAAATTTTTCAATACAAATCTGCTATATCCACATTAAAACATGTTCAGTTGGAAAGTTTGTCTGCCATTTACAAGAGAAATAAAGTAGCAGCGTCCTTTGATAATGTTAAGAGGTAAACCAGTTTGGTTTAAGAAATATATTTTCAATAAAATTATTGACTATCGATTTTGAAGTTTTCTTTTGAACGTGGACAACACACTGCCCTCAGCGACAATTTTTTCGATACTCAGGGACTATCGTAACAACATAAGTGTGACAAAATAATTATTCTCATTAATTTGTACTCAACAGGATATGTCAAAATATTCTGGTTTTACTTAACAATCTATTTAGAGGCTATATATTAAATGTATTCATAAAATAATATGATTAATAGGTGATCAATGTTATAAACAAGAGTTTATTTTACACACCACTGAGAAGACCTCCTTTTCTACCAGTTCTAGAATAATTGGCCAGGTCAGGTCTCCTAACTGCTGCAGTCTTATTCCATCTGCTATAGTGTGAAGAAATCTTGGGGGATTTGGCCAAAGTCTCTGACCTACATGTATATAAAGTAATATATAAAATAAAAATGTGATATAACACTGTCATACAATAAAACTAAGGAGAAACTTTAATTTGATATTTTTTTTAAGTATGTGACAATAAATAAGAGCTTTTCAATGAAATATGGAGATAATGAACAGTATTCAAGCTCAAAAGTCCATTCAAACAATACAAATCAGGAGCAGAGCAAACAAGGACCTCTAAAATATCAGAGGTGGGATCAGTGCCATGGAGGAGTGAGCATTCCCTGCCGACAGGTCACACTCACTGTGTGCTCCTTGTCATGATTGGAAAAAGGGGAAAAATCCATGGACTGGCAATTCAGTGTGTAAATAATGGCATAACAATTAGTATGAAAAACGTCAGTCAGCATTTGATTGTATTTTCTGACAAGGTCATTGAATGTATCGACCATAGAACTTGCAAAATGATGACTCTAAAGGAGAATTTGTTGTAGTTTGCCATTGATTAAAATTGCTTTTTTGATACATGTAGATAAATTTGAAAAACAAAACATCATTACTACCTGCTCTTAGACATTCTTCGCACATCTTCCCATCTGGTTCAACCATGAACACTGAAAATGAGTTGATTAATATTAATCCCATTAATATTCAACTTGATATTATTGCTGACATCATTTTTTTTAAAACAATATTTCACAAAAAAACAATAAAACCTGGTTCAATAGCTTTAGATGCTATGCTTACCTTCAATATCTGGTTCAATTGCTATCCTTTAACATCTGGTTAGCTGTGGCTGCTATGCTAATCTTTAATATCTGGTTTAATAGCTTTGGCTGCTATGCAAACCTTAATATCTGGTTAAATAGCTTTGGTTGCTATGCAAACCTTTAATATCTGGTTTATTAGCTTTGGCTGCTATGCAAACCTTTAATATCTGGTTTAATAGCTTTGGTTGCTATGCTAACCTTTCATATTTGGTTTAATAGCTTTGAATACTATGCTAACCTTTAATATTTGGTTTAATAGCTTTGGCTGCTATGGCAATTCCTGAGGTCATTCCACCACCACTGACTGGTACCAATATGGCATCCAATTCTGGAACTTGTTTCAAAAACTCTACTGCTATTGTGCCCTAAAATTATTGAATAAATCTGAAATTAATCAATTCAATGTTTTGCACACTGGGGAAATTTAACAGTAAAGTTATCCATTTGTTATTAAATACTACGTGCTTCAATCTTCCATAAAAAAAAATTTATTCCTCCACATACATACCTGTCCAGTGATGACATCATAGTGGTCATATGGAGGAACAATGGCAAAATTTTTCTCTTTGGAAACCTTGTCACATGTGGATTGTCTGTAATAAAAACAAGATGATCTTAAATAATTTTGATAACATATGATTCTATCTTTTTTCATAATCTCCACTTAAACAATGATATCACTATGAACATTAATTCAGGAAAACTGCTGCACTCTTTCAGTTAAATATAACATGCACTCACCATAAACTGGAATATTTATATGTCAGTACATTAAAAATATATCAGAAAAATCAATTGCAATTGCTTGTTTTAGCTACATACCTGTCAGCTGGTGTAGGTTCACAGAACACTAATTCAGCACCATAACCTTTGACCGCTTCAGACTTGATCTTTGGTGAATTGTTAGGTACAACCACACTGCATTTTACTCCAGACACCTTTGCAGCCCAAGCCAATGCCTGTCCATGATTTCCACTGCTGTGGGTGACCTGTGAAATATGCTACTTTTCAAAAGACAAGAGGCCCACGTGCACAATGCTCACCTGAATCTCACTTGGCCTGGCTGTTTTTCAACATATTTAAAGGTTTTTAAAAATGGATCTTTATTCACATGAAAAATTCTTACCCCATATTGAAGTCCCACCCTAGCCCCAAAGGTTCATGTCAAAACCTAACTTAAATCAATACATCCTGAGGATATTTCTGAATCAATACATGTATTTTTATAACTAACATGGCATTGCTGTTCTGCAGCAGAAGTAAACATGCACAAGGTGAAATTGCTCCTTGCTTTTGGCCCTACCCAAACCTCAAGATCTATCAAAAAATTGAAGCTGAAATCATTAATTTCTTTTTAAAATACCGGTACATGTATTGATCCCCTATAGTGGCCCAGCTTTATCCCCAGGGGCCATGATTAAAACAACCTTGATTCTGCACTACATGTGAATGCTTGCATCTAACATCACTAATCATTATGATAGCCCTCCTGTCCTTGAAAAGTTTTTGAAATAGCTTCCTATGTACTTATTGTACTCCCATCTAAAACTTTGATCTACTATTGTGGCCTCAACCTAAGGGGCCATGATTTGAACAAACTAGAATCTGCTATGCCTGTGAATGCCTGAATATAATTGTTCTGCAAATCTTGTAAAAAAAAAATTTAAAAATCCCTATATGTGTATATTCCCATGTTAACAACTTAGATCCCACATCTGTGGCCCACCCTACCGCCAAGGGGTGCTATGAGCTGAACACTTCCTAAGGATACCCTTCTGTTACTGAGAAGATTTTAAAACTTTTTTTCCCCATATACATGTATTCCCATGTAAAGATCCCTTAATGTGGCCCCACCTTACCTAGAGGAGCCATGATTTAAACAAACTTGTACCTGCACTAGCTGAGGATGATTGCATCTTAGTATTACTAATCATGGCAATCCTTTCTTGAAAAGAAGATCGATCTTGATACATTTTTTATCCATGCAATTTTATTCCCATGTAAATTTAAACTTTTATCTCCTATTGTGGCCCCACCCTAACTCTGGGGTCTTGATTTGAACAAACTTAAATCTAATTACACTACATCAGGAAGCTTCTACACAGGCCCAGTAGTTCTTGAGAAAATTTTCAAACAACCCATCCAATTTTCACTATTTCTTAATTATCTCCCCTTATTAAGAGGACATGGCCCTTCATTTGAATGATTTTAAATTCCCTTCATCCAATGATGATTTGTGGCAAGTTTGGTTAAATTGGCCCAGCTTGGTTCTGGAGAAGAAGATGAAAATGTGAGAAGTTTATGTTGACGACACGCAACAAATTTTGATCATGAAAGCTATCTTGAGCCTTTGGCTCGATCAGGTAAGCTAAAAATATCAAAAAACTATATGAATATTAATTATTTATTAAGGAATTTGAATAAAAAAATCTATATCCTATAATTTTAATTGCCAATTATATCAAATATGAAACATCATATATAAAGTATATAAGCATTGCATGTACATACAACTCCATTCACATCTGGATTTCTGGCTTTTAAGGATAACACCTGAAAACAAATATATATATGCAATCCAGAGGCAATCAAAATACAGTTGACTTGAGAAATACCAAATCCTTATTTTGACAATAAAATAATAATTAATGCGTGAAAATAAAAATATTTACAGCATTTAACGCCCCTCTTGCTTTGAAGGATCCTGTCTTCTGTAAGTTTTCTGCTTTGAAAAACACTTTCCTTCCAACAACAGTGTCAAGTGTAGAACTCGTGAAAAATGGCGTGAAGTGAATATATGGTGATATTTTTTCATGCGCCTTTTTAATGTCTGAAAGTGCAACTTTAAAACAGTTTGTCATTTTAGTTCTCTCTGACTGCATTTAGGTCATCATCTACCTGTCACATTCCATAAATTTTAGTTTTTGTTTAAGTTGTTTATTTTAGAGTGATCTCCCTTTTTAATGATAATAAATCGGGATCGAACTTCCAATGAATGATTTATGCTCTTTCGTTTTGTTGGAATGTGAATTTTAAATATTAACATTTTCGAAAAAAAGAGAAAAATTACGGATGGTATCAAAACTCTTAGATATTTCTTCGAGTACAATGTTAGGTGGTGTTTTGGGGATAAGGAAACATATACGAGAAAGCGAACGAAAAAAATACACTTGCTAGCCTAGAAACAAAAATATCAAAGCTTGGCGGTTGAAACGGCCTTGACCCCAGCACTGTTTTAACAAGTTCTTGCACAGTCAACGATTGCTCACCAAAACACAATGGTGTTTTGTTGACAACAATGGAATACACGTGAGAATGGCATCTGGTGGCAGACAAGAAAGTAGACGACTAGAAGACTCAACAATGGAGGTATAAAACATATTTAAAAAAAACGTCAGAGATTTATTAATACGATCCAAAGTTGACTCAATTCTCTTTTAAAATGACAAGAGTGGGGGAAAAAACTGCATCAAACAAATCTAAAGACTAAGTTCTTCATATTTATTTCAAAACAACCATCTTATTCACTCGAAACTTATATGTGTAATTTGTATATTAACTTTTTCTCCTTTTGTTAAAGAGCCTAGCTGAAGTATTTCGATGCTTCATTTGTATGGAGAAGTTGAGAGATGCACGATTATGTCCTCATTGTTCCAAACTCTGCTGCTTCTCATGTATACGGGTATGTTGCTAATTTTGCTTTACTTATGAGGCTGGTTAGAATAACCTTACTGTGTCTCGGGACAATGTAGATAGAACGTTCTATCGTTAAAATGATATTGTCCTATGGAACCAGTTTAACGATAGAATTTCGTTCCATGTATTGACAATGTTGCAAAATAAACATGGGCGATAACTCATACTCTGCGCATTTTCTATGAACAATCCAGAGAGTTCCGAATGTCAACATGGTGTTAAATTTGAAGCGAGAAAAAAACCCGTTGAGAAATGAGTTGAATTTTCGTATTTATATGGATTATATTTTAGGTTTAAAGACATATACCGTCTCAAAAAGGTTTGTTATGATTAATTTGGTAGTTATTTTCACCATCCATGCCTCAGGATCTATTTAACTATGAACATTATGTAAGGTTTCAAGACGAAAAGGAAAATCCTTTATCCATAAATTTGCATACCTTCCATCCAAACACAACCTTGGTTTAGATGACTCTAGTAACAAAGGCATCACAACCCTAGGCATCAGTGCAACTCCTTTTGTATTCTTCAAAATCATTTCAGAGTGGATCCACTCCGATTTGCTACATTGCAAGTACATGTATATGGGACGTATTCTAACTGTGGTGAGGGCTTGTCCCGAGACACAGTTTGATTATTCTAACTAGGGACAATGTAGCAAATCAGAGCAGATCTGCTCCGACACGATTTTGAAGAATACAAAAGGCGTTGCACTGAAAATAACTACCAAATTAATGTTGACAAACTTTTTTGAGTTTGTGTATGCCTTTTACCAAAAAAAAAAAAAATCCATAGATAGACAAAAATTCAACTCATTTTCTCAACGTTTTTTCTCACTTCGAATTTAAATGCCATGTTGACATTCAGAACTTTTAGGATTATTCACAATAAACATGTAGATTAGAGTTATCTGCACCTAATTATTTTGGTACATTGGCAACACACTAAACATATTCTATCATTAAACCTGGTCTTTAGGACAATTATTATTTTAACGATAGAATGTTCTATTTATTACAAGGCAAGTTTATTTATCCATTTTCAAAAGTATAATCAGTTCAAGGAGCTTTACACTAGGAATTTTGCATTCCATTCTGTTTTACTGACTTGCTGATAAAATTTCTACATCCCGCAGTTAAATTTGGGTATGATTTATCTGTTTTTAATAACTTTGATATTTGGGCTAACTGAAACTTATTTTTAATTTAAAAATATTTTCTATGTTTATTACAGAGATGGTTAACAGAACAAAGATCACAATGTCCACACTGCAGGTAATCTATAGACTTATTTATAATAGATGAAGAATTTCTTCAAATACACAAAAAGATATAATTATGAACAACTCTGTCAACATAACAACACAGCCAGTAGAGGCATATTATTATTACAATTATTACAATATTATTAAAATATTATGATATTTATGTTCAATGCAATAGTACTGTCATTATTACAGTCAGTTATTTTGATAAGTTTTGCTACATTGCACTGTTTTATAAAAATGGATACCCTGAGTAATGAAAATTTATAATTTATAAATATCTTTATCTTTAACCAACACAAAGCAAAAGTGTTGCAATTTAAACCATTTTTAAGATTATAACATAAAAAAAATACAGAGACAAGCATATACCACTAACAATGACAATTTGAAATGACATTTAATACTTATTTCCATTGCAATATTTGGATTATTATATTTCAGTTATTACCAGTATATTTATTGTGACTTCCCAATATAGATTGTTATTAATTGGTTTTAATAAGAGTTATAAAATGTGCTTATCCCAAATCATAGAAGTTAGAATTTTATTTGAATCTTTAAGTACACATTTGTGTGACTCCTTAAAGTTTGTTATAATGTTTGAAGGATGGTACAAGTTTTATCTTTTTATTAAAGAGCATCTCTCCATATTCATGAGCTGGTCAACTGTCGCTGGGCGGAGGAAGTAACTAACCAGCTAGACACGCTTAAAGACTGCGCTCCCTCCCCAAAGAAAGAGGACTCTGACAAAGACAAGTATGTTCAATTTAAACTACACTCTTCCTTTATTCTCACAACTAAATATCCCACTGTTTATAGTATTCAGTGATTTTTTATTTTAAATATTAAATATAGTGTCAGAGGAGAATTTTTAAAAAATAAGTTCAAAAAATCTCAGATGTGCAATGGGTAATATACAGTATGATGGTACAAATTTTGTATGGACCTGGAAGAAACGTTGAACCTTGGGACTAACAGTGTTTTCCTACTATTTTTAGATGTGATGACCACCAGGAGAAACTGAGTGTATATTGCTGGACTTGTAAACAATGCATTTGTCATCAATGTGCACTCTGGGGAGGAACGGTAAAGATTTATTTCTATTTTCTAACACAATGTGAAAGGATAAAAGTTGTTGATTATTTCTCCAGCTCACTAAAACATTATGTAATGTTCAGTAAGCTCTGTACACAAAAAACAGCATAAGTAGATAAAGAAAATCACTTTTCTTAGATAAAATTAAAAAGAAATACATGTACATGTAGTGTAAGTTGCTTAAGATGCTCTGTATATGGTACCCCTACAGGGATACAGTTTTTGTATGGTGCAATTTTTTTGTGTATTGTGGTGTTCTGGTACATGTATATTGGTATGTTATACCCCTAGTAAATAATAGTGTTACAACTATACTGACACGCAAAAGAAACGCAACCTCCAATTTTCGATAAAATTTTAATATTTCATTTAAGTATAAGATTTAATGTTTACATCTTATAGAAGATACACTATGTATTCTATTCAATACTGTATCAAATTATGACTTATCTACCATCACTCTGGCAAAAAAATATCAAGGATGTAGAGGTGGTAACCATTGAAATTTTCCTAGTTTAATATCGAATATGCCCTCCTTTAGCAATTGTTGCTGCTCGAATTCTGCGATGCAGAATATAGAGTTTGTTACACGGTTGATTTGTGTCATAGGAATGTTCTGCCACTCTTCCAGAAGTGCCTGACGCAAAGCGGGCAGAGTCTCCGGTGGATTTTGGCGCGTTCGAATGCGTCGATCCAACATGTCCCACACATGCTCTATAGGCGACAAATCGGGACTGTATGGGGGCCAAGGTAACGTTTCGACATTGTTTTCGTGAAGAAAATCAATTGAACGTCGCGCCACATGACACCTTGCATTGTCTTGTTGGAAGATAAGGTTATTCTGGTGGACAAACGGAACGACTACAGGTTGCAGAACAGTGTCAATGTACCGCTGAGCTGTCAAACTGCCTTCAATGAATACCAAGTGGGTTTTGCGACCACAACAGATCCCTCCCCACACCATTACGCTTCCACCACCAAACCTGTCACATTCCACCATGCAGTTATCGACATAATGTTCACCACGGCATCTAAAAACACGCCGACGCCCATCTGAACGGTAAAGCGTGAATTTTGACTCGTCAGAGAAGAGTACACGACGCCATCTTTGCATTGAAAACGCAGTTGGACGGTGTCGTTGCAACCATTGTAGTCTGACGTCACGTCGATGAGATTAAGGGGCATTCCCACTGCAATGCGACGCGGCTTGATGCCATATGAGCGAAGACGCCTAAGCACAGTATCTCGGCTTATTCTTGGATTATGCGTCCCAGGTGTCTCATTTGCAGTTTTTTGTGCAGTTCTAAACCGGTTGCGCAAGTGCTGCAACCTTATGAAACGATCCTGACGAGGCGTCATCACCTTTGGTCGACCAGTTCGAGGGCGATCAGAAGTAGTACCAGTTTGTCTAAGGCGTTTGTAGAGACGAGATATTGTGCTTTTGTGGACATTCAGTGTTCTTGCAACATCACTATGGATGTTTCCAGCTAACAGTAACTACACTGCCCTATTGCACGCATCGTTTGAGAGCCTAGGCATACTTATTGCAATATGAAAAACAAATTTTAATGTCGGATTATTCTTACCAGATACCTGAAGAATAACAAACAAGTCTGAGACGCACGAAATACTGTAGCGTGTATCCGTGCACGTGCTAATCATGGTTTTTATTGATGCCTCGCTGACGCGAAAACGTGTAGTGTGACCGAGTTCAATCAACCATAACATTGCTTGGAAATGTGTATGATATCCTGCGATTCAAAATTGCTAACAATAAATTATAAAAATTTAAACTATTTATGTTTAAATGGGGTTGCGTTTCTTTTGCGTTTCAGTATATATTGAAGTGAATATAGCATCCCTTTTTAGGTGTCCTTTTGAAAAAAAAAATAAGGAGATTTGTTGAAGCTTATAGTAAGACTTCTAAATTTTTGTTAAAGGTGCTTAGACACAGATTTGAAGTTAACATTTACTCAAATTTTCTGTATAATTTCATGACTTATATGTTGCTATAGCATTTCATACGAAAATTTGATAAAAATCTTATTTAATCTGGAAGTTATTGAAACTTCAAATTTCTGGACGCGTTTGATAGACACATCCTTGCACTTTCACAAATTTTAATTTTGTCCTTATTACTTTAGAAAAGTAGCAATTTTGTTGTTTATTAATGAAAAATATTAAAACTATAATGCAGAAATTTCAGAGTAAAAATGTAGAAAGCAAAATCCTCTCACCAGTATTGTCAGTCCGTGCTCAGTGGTGTGTGCAGAGTTTAACAATTGAACACACCCAGTGAAACCTAAACATTAACAACAACAGAGCTCGTGCCCTGTTTACAAAAACAGTTTACGTTTCACGGGTGTATTCAATTTGTTAAACTCTTTACACAACTACACAACACTGAGCACTGGCTGACAGTACTTAAGTGAGTGAGTTTTGCTTTCGCACATTTTTACTCTGAATTTTCTGGATTATAGATGTAATATTATTCATTAATACACAACAAAATTGCTAATTTTCTTAAGTATTAAGGATAAAGTTAAAAATTGTGAAAGTGCAAGGATGTGTTAATCAAACGCCTCCTGAAATCCGTAGTTTCAATAATTTCCAGATTAAATAAGTTTTTAATTTTATATTCGTGTGAAATTCTATAGCAACATGTAAGTTGTGATATTATACAGAAAATTTGAGAAAATATAAACTTCAAATCTGTGTCTATGCACCTTTAATATCACATGGTAAGATATATTCATCTAAGTCACTTCAACAATGGTGCCTTTTTATTAAATGAAAAAAATAAATGTTAAATTGTCATTTCAGCACTCTGGTCATACATTCAAACCTCTGGATGATGTCTATAATGAGCATGTGAAGAAAATTACAGAAGAATTGAATCAGCTGAAACGTCGTCATGTAGAGCTGATTAGTCTGGTGCAGGATGTGGTGAGTTATGTTTATCTTTGAACTCGTAACTTTTACTTAGAGGAATGGTATTTGTGTTTCACTAAACTTACACTCTTGTCAATCCATTAATTTACTTTAAATCTGATTTGTTAATAGGAACGAAACATTGAGGGTGTAAAGACTGCTAAAGATGAGAGAGTAAGAGAAATCAGGAATGCAGTGGAACTTATGATTGCAAGATTAGAGACCCAGCTCAAGTCTAAGCTACTTACATTAATGGGTAGGTTACAAGATTAGAGACCCAGATCAAGTCTAAACTTCTTACTTTGATGGGTTGGTTACAAGATTAGAGACCCAGCTCAAGTCTTAACTTTTTATTATGATAGGTAAGTTACAAAAGTAGAGACCCAGCTCAAATCTAAACTTCTTAAATTAATGGGTAGGTTACAAGATAAGACACCCACTCAAGTCTAGACTTCTTTCCTTGATGGGTAGGTTCCAAGATTAGAGACCTGGCAGCTCAAATCTAAACATCTTACCGGTACTTTGATGGGTAGAATACAAGGTTAGAGTCCAAGCTCAAGTCTAAACTTCTTACTTTGATGGGTAGGTTCCAAGGTTTATAGAGACCCAGCTCAAGTCTAAACTTCTAACTTTGATGGGTAGGTCTCAAAGACACTTTACTTTTTTTATAGAGCTTAGAGGTAAATTTTATTTACACTTCATAATTTTTCCTTGCATTTATCTACATACACTGATCTTGGAGGACACTTTTTACAATCTGCATTTTGAATTACCAAAAAAATTATCTCTTGAATAAAGTTTTAAGTATTCTTAAATGAAAGTAAAGTAAATGCAATGTACATTTGCTTTAAATGTGCATTTCAGTATACATGTAATGATTCAAAAGTAAATTAAAATGCTTGTACCTACTGGGATATATAAAATTTTGCAAATACACGAAGATTGGGAAATGTTTACTTTTAATGTTTTATAGGCCAGAGAGGTCAGGTGACCCAGGACACAGAAAAGTTAGAGACACTAATCCAGAAAATGAACCAGAAGTTGCTGAACAGTGGCAAGAATGAACTGATCAGCCAAAGCACTGAACTCCTACAGATGTTCAAGCAGTTCCACTGTAAACCCATGGCCTCATTTGTAACTGCTCCTGTACCTGCAGATTTTACCAGGTGTGTATTAGGAATATGAATGACTGTATGTTTTAAATATAAAGGTAAGTGTAGTGCCATATTGTAGATATTTTGGATGATAATTGTATGTTATGTATATATAATAAAACACAAATTTCACCATTACGATTGTGTCAAATTGTCGAGGTTCTTCATTTGCACTAAAATTTCAATATCAAAGTGAGTGTTATAAACAGTGTATGAAATACAGGATCATTATTCACACAGTATGCAGTATTATATGATTGAATAAACTCCTGGCTATCTGATTGGCCTAGGTCCAACATTCTAGATATCATTCCAAGTTAAGTTTACCTGCACGAGACATGCCAGGTGAACATAAGTATTTATTTTTTCAACAGTGGTGTAAAAATAATTTGGAAATAGTCGGTTTTGTTCACCTGCTCCAGAACTAGGTTTTTTTTTGTTTTTTGTTTGTTTTTTTTTTGGGGGGGGGGGGGGGGTATCATTTAATCAAATAATAAAACAATTAATTTATTATTGCTGTTTCTGAAGTCAAATCAGTGAATTAGCTACTCGAGGAGTACAATATTTACTGAGCCCAAAGGAGAATATTTTACTCCTCAGATAGCAAAATAATTATATTGACCTGAAAAATAACAATAATTGTACACTGTTAAACATTATTCTTTCAAATATAATTATTTCATATATAATCTGTGACAAGGAACACTAAGTTGCTTTTGATATTGATTAAACATAGCTTATGTTTGTCTTTTGTACATTGATAATAGTCCCCCAGTATGACATCAGTACTTTCGTCTTTTGTACAGTGAGATAGTCCCCCAGTATGACACCATTACTTTTGTCTTTTGTACAGTGAGATAGTCCCCCAGTATGACACCAGTACTTTGTCTTCTGTACAGTGAGATAGTCCCCCAGTATAACATCAGTACTTTTGTCTTTTGTAAAGTGAGATAGTTTCCCAGTATGACATCAGTACAGTGGCTTCCATTTTATCGGATAGCGGTTTAACGAATATTTCGGCTATTTCAATATAATATCAGAGCACAAAACCATTTCTTATATATTTATTAATAATTTCACCTGATATTCTGATGAGAAAATACTGGAATTTCGTTTTATCCGATACAAAAATTTGGACTATTATAGTGTTTTTTGATAATCAGCACCTTGTTCACACCTCCAACTTCGTATGTGAAGCCTTTGTTTACACAGTTTGACACCAATTACCTTGACTGGCTTGAGTACGACAATGAGGGGATTAGTTACGCCTGGACGCACACAGGCACCTTACCTGTGTCAATAGTGGGCATAGTAAATAGATATGTTTTGATTACAGTTGTGGTGATCAGCTTGGGTTCAATGATGCACTTGTTAATTATGACAATTATTTGCAATTTTTTCGGCGTGAAATCTTAATTATTGAACTGATTAGCTTGTGTATGACAGTTTGCTTGGATAATGAAATAAACCTATTCACTCGTTTAACTTGGTCAATTGGCTTAATATTTATTCACTTTTCAGTGCAAAATTTATGGTAAAAATCACAAATGGCTCGCTCTATAAAAATACGTCTCAAAATTCATACCATCTTTCTCCACATGGCTCTCAAAATCTTTCTTCAGCAGACATGAACGAGACTGGTAAACTCACACACAGTATAAAATATGTAACCGTATTAAAGTAACAAATCAAAAGGAAACAATTACATATATTTAATATTTTTGTTTATTTTTAATTTACAATCTATCCAGGGAAAAATAGTTTACGGTTATTAGTCAAGCATTTAGTCTACTTCCGTTTCCAAAATGGCGACCGTCGAAGAAGGAATGTAAACATGTGCTGAAGAAAGATGGCAATAACTATCAAAGAATATATTCTATACGTCAATTTATTTGAAAAAAAAATTTCATATTAAATTCATAAGTAAGTGAAATAAATTATTTTTAGTAAAGTCATTAAGTAAACATGTCAAAAGAAAACGAAAGTGCAAGCTTGAAATTTGCTAGCTACGATGTATTATCAATACATGTAGCTCTATACATCTATCTTTGGACTCGGTATGGAGCAATCGGCTATTCTAATTTTCGGCTATTCGGATAAAACTAGGCTGACAACTTGACTATTCGATAAAACGGGAACCACTGTACTTTTTTCTTTTGTACAGTGAGATAGTCCCCCAGTATGACATCAGTACTTTTGTCTTTTGTACAGTGAGATAGTCCCCCAGTATGACATCAGTACTTTTGTCTTTTGAACAGTGAGATAGTCCCCCAGTATGACACGAGTACTTTTGTGATGAAGAACTTCAGTGTTTTACAACAGAGAGCTGACCCAGTCTACAGTCAGCCATTACATGTATCAGGCCTCAGCTGGAGACTCAAAGTCTATCCTGTAAGTCTGAAATATAATAATAAAATATATTCTGAATGTCTGTGAAGAACTATATAGTGTACAGTCAGCCATGACTCAAAGTCTATCATGTAAATCTGAAATTTATTTAACTTTTAATAATTCTGAATTTAATTGAACCCTTTCTCTAGAAATAACTTTGGCTTGAATGATAAAATATCACTGTTATGAACACATAACTGTTTTTGTAAGCATTCACCTGTTTTATCCTTGTAATAATTTGTCTAACAAGTGAATGAAATAAAGAAGTTTGACAATTTACAGACACCTGAATTTACCCTTCTTGTCAAACTTGTACTTGTTTTTTTACAATTTTATATTTTCAATTAGGATGGCAATGGAGTTGTAAGGGGAAATTACCTATCAGTATTCCTAGAATTGTCTGTTGGACTCTCTGAAAACTCTAAGTAAGAAACAGATATTGTAGCATTTTTTCAGCATTTTTAGCTCACCTGAGCTGAAAGCTCAAGTGAGCTTTTCTGATCACCCATTGTCCGTCGTCCGTCCGTCTGTCCTTCCGTCTGTCTGTCCGTCCGTCTGTAAACTTTTCACATTTTCAACTTCTTCTCAAGAACCACTTGGCCAATTTTAACCAAAATTGGCACAAAACATCCTTGGGTGAAGGGGAAGTTAAATTGTTTAAATGAAGGGCCAAGCCCTTTTACAAGGGGAATTCAAGAAAAGGCAAAAATAGGGTGGGGTCATTAAAAAATCTTCTTCTCAAGAACCACTGGGCCAGAAAAGCTGAAACTTATGTGGAAGCATCCTGGGGTAGTGTAGATTTTAAATTGTTAAAATCATGACCCCCGGGGGTAGGGCGGGGCCACAATAGGGAATCCAAGTTTTACATTGAAATATATAGAAAAAATCTTTAAAAATCTTCTTCTCAAGAACCACTGGGCCAGAAAAGCTGAAACTAATGTGGAAGCATCCTGGGGTAGTGTAGATTCTAAATTGTTAAAATCATGACCCCTGGGGGTAGGGCGGGGCCACAATAGGGAATCCAAGTTTTACATTGAAATATATAGAAAAAATCTTTAAAAATCTTCTTCTCAAGAACCACTGGGCCAGAAAAGCTGAAACTTATGTGGAAGCATCCTGGGGTAGTGTAGATTCTAAGTTGTTAAAATCATGACCCATCATGTCCCCGGGGGTAGGGTGGGGCCACAATAGGGAATCCAAGTTTTTCATTGAAATATATAGAAACAAATCTTTAAAAATCTTCTTCTCAAGAACCACTGGGCCAGAAAAAGCTGAAACTAATGTGGAAGCATCCTGGGGTAGTGTAGGTTCTAAATTGTTAAAATCATGACCCCCAGGGGTAGGGGGGGCCACAATAGGGAATCCAAGTTTTACATTGAAATATATAGAAAAAATCTTTAAAAAAGATTTTTAAAGATTCTTTAACAGAACCTTCTCAAGAACCACTGGGCCAGAAAAGCTGAAACTTATGTGGAAGCATCCTGGGGTAGTGTAGATTCTAAATTGTTCAAATCATGACCCTGGGGAGTAGGGTGAGGCCTAGCTGCAATAATGTAGCCCTCTCCAATTTTTTGTTAGCTCTTCTGAGCCAAAGGCTCAAAGAGCTAATGCTATGGCCATTTGTGCGGCGTGCGGTGTGCGTAAACTTTTTAGAATATGGGCCATAACTCAAGAACCCCTTGGCCAATTTTTGTCAAATTTGTCACAGGGTATCCTTGGCCCAAGGGCTCCCGTTTATACTAAAACTAGGGTTGTGACCCTTAAACAAGGGGAGATAATTAGGAAAATAGAAACAAAAGTACTGGTTGCTAAAAAATCTTCTTCTCAAGAACCACAGGGCAGATTATCACCAAACTTACACAAAAGGATGAGATTATGTTGTAGATTAAAATTTGCACGGGGATTTACCCTGGGGCAAAGGGCGTGGTCTCAAGGTCACTTCAAAGTTGACCAAAAATTACATTTTATTAAAATGTTGATATTTTGCTTACTATAAGGACTAGGATCATCAAATCTTGTCAGTTGATGCATCTAAAGACCTCATATCATGTTGACTCAAAAGTAGGTCACGGTGACCTACTTTTTAAATTTTGCGGCCATTCTTTTTCAAAATGATTTAAAGGCATATTTTGAACAATTTAAGGCCTATGATCATCAAACTTTGTCAGTTGATGTATGTTGGGTCCTCAAAGTATGTCAACTTAAAAGTAGGTCACCTTGACCTACTTTTTGAATTTTATGGCTAATCTTTTTAAAAACAATTAAGGCCATTAATTCGAATACCGAGAGGTTTAGAATCATGAAATCTTGTAATATGATGCATCTTGGGGCCATAAAACATATTTATTAAAAAGTAGGTCACAGTGACCTACTTTTTGAACTTTGCAGGCATTTGATTTCAAAGCACTTTAGAGGCATAATTTGGACATTTTGAGGCCTATGATCATAAAACTTTGTAAGTTGATGCATCTTTGGTCCTCAAATAACATCAAATGAAAAGTAGGTCACCGTGACCTACTTTTCACTTTATATGACTATAATAAAAATTTCAGGTACTAATTGGCTTAGAATCATCAAACTTTGTCAGTTGATGCATCTTGGGTCTTCAGAGTAGGTCAACTAAAAAGTAGGTCACCGTGACCTACTTTTGAAAATTTATGGCTTTATTTATATATTTCAGGTACTTATTGGCTTAGAATCATCAAACTTTGTCAGTTGATGCATCTTGGGTCTTCGGAGTAGGTTGACTGAAAAGTAGGTTACCGTGACCTACTTTTGAAAATTTATGGCTTTAATTAAATAATGCTGGTCCTTATTGGCTAAGAATCATCAAACTTTGTCAGTTGATGCATCTTGGGTCCTTTGAGTACGACAGCTAAAAAGTAGGTCACGGTGACCTACTTTTGAAATTTTATGGCTGTATTTAATATTTTCGGGTACTAATTGGCTTAGAATCATCAAACTTTGTCAGTTGATGCATCTTGGGTTTTCGGAGTAGGTTGACTGAAAAGTAGGTCACCATGACCTACTTTTGAAAATTTATGACTTTAATTAAATATTTTGGGTACTAATTGGCTTAGAATCATCAAACTTTGTCAGTCGATGTATCTTGGGTCTTCGGAGTACAACAACTGAAAAGTAGGTCACCATGACCTACTTTTGAAAATTTATGGCTTTAATTAAATATTTCAGGTACTAATTGGCTTAGAATCATCCAAGATGTCAGTTGATGCATCTTGGGTCCTAAGTAGGTCACTTTGACCTACTTATAAAATTTTATGGTCATAATTTTAAAAAACATTTTATGTACTAATTGGCTTATTATAGAATCATCAAACTTAGTTGATGGGTCCTCAGAGAATGACAAGTGATAAGTAGGCCACCATGACCAACTCTCAGGTACTAATTGGCTTAGAATCATCTTGGGTTCTCAGAGTGTGAATTGGAATTTCAAGGGTTTATCTAAATATACAGGATACGTACAGGCTTCAAATGAAGTGATAAGTTGTACAGTTTATCAGAAGAGCGATTCAAGGCCCTTGGGCCTCTTGTTTTTTTTGTGGGGGGGGGGGGGGGGGGGGGGAGAGAGCTACAACTCCTTAGGTGCAAGTGCGGGAGTGATTCACTACCACACAGATTTCGGCTCAAATTATCAGTAAGTGGGTATTTTGTTAACATATCTTACCTGAACTCATAAAATGTAGTTATGCAGGACATGAATTGATCCAAAAACACACAGAACAATCTGTATATCGGTTATTTTTCGTGTATGTCAACATCACAAGTTGAATTTATCCGCCATGTTTACTGACCTTGATCGATTTTATTTTGGGACAACCAATGAGAATTTGGGATCTAGGGGAGTGGATCTGTATGGATTTCCCTTATTATAAGCATAAATATCACTGTTTATGATAAAAATATCGCATGAATGCTTTTATTTATCGATGTTTAGTGATACCATACAACAGAAACATTTATCAACACCGACATTTACATTATCAAGTGATTCTAAATTTCAAGTGCAAGTCTCAGTACATCACGCGAGAACTGTCATGGCTGCTGAGGTGAACGAATGGAAAACACGCAGATTTATTTTACTTGGTTTTCGCGTATAAAGGGCTATGATGTTGATAGTGAATAAAAATTCCTTCTTATTGGAAGTAAGTTGAATGCAAAAACAATTTATTTTGCCTGCAGTCGCCCGTATCTAAAAAATGTATTTGCACCATTATGGAGATGCAGTGGAATTGTAGCCCTCTCCTGAAAATATTAGATTAAAAAAAATCGGAGAGGGCTACATTATTGCAGCTAGGCGGGGCCACAATAGGGAATCCAAGTTTTAAATTGAAATATATAGAAAAAATCTTTAAAAATCTTTTTTCTCAAGAACCACTGAACCAGAAAGGCTGAAACTTATGTGGAAGCATCCTGGGGTAGTGTAGATTCTAAACTGTTAAAAACATGTCCCCTGGGTAGGGTGGGGCCACCATAGGGAATCCAAGTTTTACATTGAAATATATTGAGAAAAAAGTCTTTAAAAATCTTCTTCTCAAGAACCATTGGGCCAGAAAAGCTGAAACTTATGTGAAAGTATCCTGGGGTAGTGTAGATTCTAAATTATTTTTTTTTTTAAAAAGGACCCCTGGGGTTAGGGCGGGGCCACAATAGGGAATCCATTTTTGACATTGAAATATATACGAAAAATCTTTAAAAATCTTCTTCTCAAGAACCACTGGGCCAGAAAAGCTGAAACCTATATGGAAGTATCCTGGGGTAGTGTAGATTATAAATTGTTAAAAGCATGATCCCTAGGATAGGATAGGACCACAATAGGTGTATTACATGGGGGAAAGTCTGGTGAAGAACAGCAGGGCCAAAGTTACTCAGGTGAGCGTTGTGGCCCATAGGCCTCTTGTTCTTGATTAGAAACTGGTTTAATCAATAGCAAAGAATTTCAAAACATAACAGAAGCAAAGTAAAAAAAAGGAAGGGAGTGCTGTAGCTGTACATGTACTATGAAATCTGAAAATTCATTCAGTTTGTATTGGGTCTTTCACAAATTCACTACATTGTGCAATTTATTTTTGACAGATATGAATACAGAGTGGAGATGGTCCATCAAGCCTCCAGAGACTACACAAAGAACATAGTTCGAGAATTTGCCTCAGACTTTGAGGTGGGGGAGTGTTGGGGGTACAACAGGTTCTTCCGTCTTGACCTGCTAGCCAGCGAGGGGTACCTGGACACTGACACTGACACACTGATCCTGAGGTTCCAGGTTCGACCCCCGACATTTTACCAGAAGTGCCGAGACCAGCAGTGGTACATTAATCAGCTGGAGTCGACTCATACTCAACTCATCAACCAGATCACTGATCTCAAAGAGGTAGTTACACATATATCTTATTCTCCACTTTGATTCCATCAACTTCTAAACCATTTTGTATTTCTAAGAAAAGAAAAACTATTTTGATCATTTATGACCATAAAAATACCCCCTTTCAAAACTAGTAATACTAAAATGTAACATCTATTTAGTAAGAAAAGTTTTAGACTTATTAATTTATTATGTTTCATGTTCTCTAAACGCTTAAACTCTGTTCCTGATATTGTAGAGATTACTCTTGCTTGAAATGTCTAGAAACTCGGGGTCTGGCAAAAAGGGTGGAGCATCAGCTGGTATATATAGCTTTTACATGTATTTCGTAACTTATTATTTACAGTGTACAGATAGCTCAGTTCACTGAAACTCATTTTACATCAGGTCAATCAACAAAATTATCTCTCATCCATTTTGAAATATTTCCAACAATTAACATAAACAATAAAATATTGAAACATTATGCACATTGTATCAGTATAAGAATATGTGCTTTTCTCCTTAAAAATTGAAAGCCATGTCTTTCTTTGCAGAATCCCCCCTTCCACTGATAGATCCCCAGAGCAGTGGTGATGGAAATCTTGCTCAGCATTCCATTCTGTACCCCAAACCGATCCATCCAAACTCAGGCTCCGAGATCGAAATTGAGCTGTGTGAGGAAGACCATACAGCCAAGGATGACAGCTCAACCTCTGGCTCAATAGATGTAAGGGAATTTTTTTTGGGGGGGGGGGGGGAGGGGGGGTGTTGAGGAAAGATTAAAAAAATACGTCTGTTTTGAGTCCCACAAGTGTACAGCAAAGAAAAGCTAAAAAATTATGCATGGATACATTTTTCTTGTGTTTTTACATGAAAACTTTTTCAAGTCCAATAATTTCAAACATTGTTTTCCTAAGTTTTAAGTCTTGCAGAATGTTTTTAATCTTGATGTATTTCTGGTAAAGGAGATCAGCCAGTATGATATAGAGGACTGTGAACATGACAATGAACAGGGGACAACAGAACACAACGATGAAAATGACATCGATGAAGAGACTATGTAAGTTTAAAAAATCAACTGATTATACCAACTGTATGTCTGTTGTCCTCATTTCACTTCTAATGCACTGTCAATTAAAAAAAAAATGTTTTTTGGTGTTTTGATATGGTAGTAAAGTGTGTTTTGAAAAAGAAATGTTTTATCTTAGAAAGAGTAGAGCTGTACATAAAACCTTTGAAATAAGGCCCTGTTTATTACTATGAAGTACACAGTATAAATGATCTGTCAATTTTCTCTTTTGCTTTCACCAGGTCTGTGGACAATGACGTGGAGAATAATTGGGAAAACAACTTAGACAGATTGGGGGCTCATAGTTACACCCCCACCATCCCCAACATTACAGATAACAGGTAAGGAGCTCATAGTTAAACCCCCATCATCCCCAGCATTACAGATAACAGGTACAGGGCTCATAGTTAAACCCTCCCCCCCATCCCTAACATTACAGATAACAGGTACAGGGCTCATAGTTAAACCCCCACTATCCCTAACATTACAGATAACAGGTAAGGAGCTCATAGTTACATCACCAACATTACAGATAACAGGTACGGGGCTCATAGTTAAACCCCCACCAACCCCAACATTACAGATAACAGGTACGGGGCTCATAGTTAAACCCCCACCAACCCCAACATTACAGATAACAGGTATTGGGCTCATGGTTATTACACCCCGACCATCCCAAATACATGTATTACAACAGGTATGGGGCTCATAGTTAAACCCCCATCCCCAAATTACAGATAACAGGTATGTGACTCATAGTTATTACACCCCCCAGACTGTCCTGTGTGCATTGTATCAATATAGCATGATGTGTTGAGTTTCAATTTAAAGTTTCAATCACAGTGCTGTCTGAACAAGTATCTTACATCCTATTAAAATCTACAAAGAAATAGTAGATTTACCATAGAACTATGAAATATTACATAGAAATTAAATTTCTTTGTAGTGCTGTAGATGATGAAGCAGTTCTAATGCAGTTTTTACAAGAACACTCTAAATATGACAACACTTGGTGTGTTGGAAATGGTAACTATTTTTAATTATGTTGAAAGTTCTTTCCAAAAAATCATGTATTGTTTGATTTTTTTTTCATAAGTTCTATTGGATATACCTACAATAATATTTGATGTTTTAATATGAACTAACTTTGGAATGCTTTTGCCTTTATTTTTCATCATAGATGCTGCAGGTGATGGACTTAGTTCTGATTGGTTGGACAGTGTCCTTAAATTCACCAAATCCTGCAGCTCCAGCAACAGCAAAGATACAAAGGACAAGGACTCAAAGAAGGATCCTGCCACCAAGCCTAAACCTCCTGCCAACAAGCCTGCCATCCCAGCCAAGCCTGCCACTGCCTCCAAGCCACCTCCCCCAACCACTGACTACATGCTGGAACACATACACCAGAGGTTCACGGAGCTGGCAGCCTCCACCCTGGCTGCTGCGAGCGGTGCCGTAACCAGTGAGACCGAGGCTAGGGCCATAGTCAAATCTGACAACAAAGGTATCACTATCAAATGTGATGTTTAGTTTTCTTTCTTTTCTGATGTTACATTGGTATTATGCTGGGTATGTGTAGTTTCATTGTGAATTTTACTCTCCTCTCTGATTTTGGTTATTCGGATATATATATATATGTTGTTTTGCTTTTGAAAAAATCCTACTGTGAAAAAGTAATATGACTTGCTTTCATACATCAGTAGAAAGTTGAACTTTAAAATATTTGTTATTCATTATGTAGATAAAAAAGAACGAGTACAGATTCCATCAATGGATCTTTCTTCAAATGATAAAGGAAGCAAACTCAAAGTAGAGAAGGAAAAGAAAATAACAAATACATGTATATCCTCTTCAGATTTAGGTAGGAATTTATAAATGTATCATTTTCAAAATAAGTATGTAACTAAATTAAGAGTTTTTCTTTTAGATGTATGTATTAATACCTGTTTATCAACTTTGTAATTTTTCATTTAAAAATTAATGCACATGTGAATTTTGATGGTATAGATGGAGTTTTGGGCCTTGATTTGACCAGCGCCTCCTTAGAACAGGAGACTTTGTCTGACATATCATTGGATGACATTCCATCTCCCCAGCGTTACCAGTCCCAGCAGCTATCAGCGGCCATTCCACACAGGTACACTGTCCACTCATTAAATGTCACATGATTTACATTAATTTATATGCATTTATATCTCACATTTCAATACCTTTACTCACTGACTCATTTACAAGAAACAGAAGATGTTTATTTCTGGAAAATTACATGTACTTGGACTGGGATAGATAAACTTTTGAACAGTTTTTTCCAGGTTATACAATTTTATAAATTAAAGATGTATTGTATGCACTGAATTGAAATTTATTTTATTCATTTATTTATTTATTTGAAACTGGTGGTCAGTAATGTTTAATGTTTAAATTTAGTCCACCTGATCAAGGAGGAAGCAGAAAGAAAAGACTGGTCATCACCAAGAACAAGGTTTCTACAGCAGCTTCTGGATCTCACAAAGACCAGGGTCAGTTTGAAGGATTATTATTTTTTTTATTGTCCCTGAGATGCAAGATTAAGGATTATGGGTGGCACATATTAATTTATGTGTCTTTCTTCCATCCACAAGTATAACTTTGATCTTAACCTTTTAAGATTAAATGATGTCACAAATACATGCAGTAGTTGGGTTTACAATTTTTCCTGTATCAATAGGGCTTAAACTTTTGTTTTTTAAATAGGAATACCCTGGGCTCTGAATTTTGTAAAAAAGGTGAATAATAAATCTGAACAAGCCTTGGAGACAAAAGATAAAGGTGGATCAACAGTCACTGTGGGACTATCCTCTGTTGTTGTTGATAACCATGGTAACAGTAAAGATGGCACTCAGTTGCCTAGCAGCAGTGCTGCAGGGACCAACAGTGATCACAACACGTCATCAGATTCCTCATCATCCAGCTCGGGTCCTCTGGTGGAATTCAGTTCTCAGGCTGCTGCCGCCAAGGAAGCTAGGTTTGTGTCCAATAAGAATGCTTTTCACTCTTTGTGCATCATGTATAGCTCATATGAAATTTTTAACTTGGAATTCATCACCTATGAAGAGAGTAGTATGAATTCGGTTTGATATTTTGATGCAAAATTATGTAACAAAAAAAATTAATTTTACGAACTATATATAGGCCTGATGACTGGCATTATATAAGTGATGGCCTACTTTAAAAAAAAATCTTTTAGGAAGAGGTGTAAATTACTCAGCACTGGAAACTTGTTAAATTGACTAGGAACCATCTTTCCTATTAGAATGGTGTATGTTGAGATTACTTAACATGAATTTACAAATAAAAACATTCTTGAAAAAGAGTTTTACTCTGTTAATTTTAAAAATGTGCTCTTTTAGTGAAAACTATTGAAAACAGATAGAATGAATTGTTTCCTCATGTTCAGTAAAAGAAAAAACGCCACATACATTTTTGCACCTGATCTTTTTGTACATGGCAAATTCTTCCTGGGGGAAATTAATCAGATTTATTTGTACAATTTATGGATATTTCAGGTCGGAAAGTGGTGATGATGCATCTGTAGTTTAACAATCCAACATCCATTCCAAATCACGATCATCTAAACAAGGTTCATATTAGCTCAGAGACAGGAAGACAAGATTTACAGACAATAAAAGCCATGAAGAAAGCAGTAGAAAATTAAGGAAATATTTTATATGTGGACTCCATTAAAGTGATATATAATTATCTAGTCACAATGATCATTTCAGGAAAATTGCCATGCTGTTTTTTCCTTATGTGTTGTGTTTGAATGAAGTGAAATTTTTGTTTATCATTCTGATGTTGAACTTTATTCTGCCATGGCTGTATGTTTAGATTTTCTAAATTTTCTATTATATTTCCAACCTCTTGAAATTCATATGAAGTCAGTAGTCTAAGTACCAAAGGTATTCAAACAAGAGGTACTTTTGTAAGTTTTGTAATTGTTTCAAGGAATATTTGCTTAAGGTCATTGAAAAGACCTTTGATGCAGTAATTACTAGTAAGAGAAAAAGAATGAAGAAGTAAAGGTATTGCATTTGTAATTTTTTTGTTCAATTTTCAATGGAGAAAGTTTTATTTATTGCTTCTACAAATACATGTATATTGAAATTTCTTATCTTTCAGTTACTCTTCATTTCATTTTTGTCAGAGGCATGTAGAATCAAAGGTGGTCTCAATAATTGTGGCTATTATTTTTTTTCCAAACAATTTGAAAATCTTTTTTATTCCAATTCAGATCTCTTCTTCAATTTGTTTAGCTTTTTTTTTTTTTTTGTTTGCATTACTGCATAGAGAATATGGCTATTAATTAATATTTCCTATGCTGTATATTTTATTTTTTTTTTTAAAGTAAATTAGGTTATGGTTTTTAAGGCATTAGTGTAGTCATTTAGACAGTGCTATTTTGAACAAGGACTGTGATGATTTAATTCAGTGCAAGATTTTTTTTTCTTCCTCACGCTTACAACTAGTATATGTATGAACATGTTGCTTGTGTGTTTTACAAACATGTTTGATTCTAATGTAAAAATGTTTGTGTTACATTTGTATTTATTTGATAATTGAAATAAATGAATATTTTCAGTAATGATAATCGAACTTCCTGGTGATGTTCCATGATTTAATGATGAGGATGTGTATTGATAAAGGTCTGACTGTCAACACTTTCAAAATTTGAGGTCATATCTGAAGGTCAAACATCAAAGAGGAAGTATCTAACCAAGGGCATATTTCTCTACAGAGAAATTTTATGGCTGATTTGTTGAATTTTTAGGATAAGTGCCTCAAAGATCACTCTATAACATTTACCCCTGCCTAACCAGTTCTTCCAGTATTAAAGTGTTCCACAACATGTTACTCTGTAACAAGGCCTACAAAAGTCTCTTCATTCTTAGAATGGAGGCCACATTTTACTTCTACATGTACCAGTAAATAATTTAAAGAAACATTTTGATGGTTTGCATTAAATTTGGTCTGTCAACTTGCACAGTTGCAGTAACTGAATACGTGTATAACAACTTCCTGAGCTATAATGTTACATGTTTGGTAAGCCAAGACTTCTTTTGTTCAGGACCATAGTTGGAGATTCAACCCTGAGAGAGTTCCAACTTTCTTCCAGTAAATTTTTATGCTTTAGTGTGACAAATTAAGAATACAATGATTACTTTTTAAAGTCATTTGACTAAATTATCACGTGTTCATTCTAATATACTACAAATGCAGCTATTCATTTGCCCCCTCTTGACTGTATGGCTAATATGTTAAATATTTGTTGAAAGGCAAGTGTACATTCATTGTTTATAAAATAACATATTGTGGTGTACATATAATTAAATCAGTTGTTGATCCTTGATGTATTTATGTTTGCACATAAGCCATACAAATCCTATTTCCGAAACATTCCGTAAATCTGTTTTGATAGGTTTAAGAAAAAGTTAAGTTCAGCGCGGGAAATGCTTATTCTGCTTTTCTTGTGGTTAGTTGGGTGAAACCCAGAGTTTATTTCACGTCAAAGGGATTAATTTCGCTTGGAATCCTTTAACCTTTATAACAACTTAGAGAATGAGTTTTAAAAATACGTTATCGGAAGCGCGGTTGAAATGGGTAAATTCCAAACTTGCATTCAATTTGTTATATCACCTGTGTGATGAAATAACGATAAACGCTATTGAACCATTTGTACTACTTTCTACAGGTTATTTGGGGTGATTTAAAGGAATATGGAATTGTTCCAGTTTTCTTTGTTCTACTACTGTAGTCGCTCCTCTAAACTTATTATTAAAAAAAAATGATTTGAATAATTTAAGGACTGTCATTGATATTACGTTCTAGAATTTTCTAGAAAATGATTTTTTTTCCCCAGACCATCAATAATTGCGATATGTTTTTCTTGGAGTCGCAGGAACATGTTAAGTTCCTGGGAAAATTAAGTACGTGTTAAAAGTATGCGTGTCTATCAATTGACTTTTATTTAATTTTCTTTTTAAAGATTTTATTTTGTTGTATTAAAAATATCTATTCGTTTTCTTTCTTTTTGAATTTTGACATCATTTATGGTAGACTTTTACAGAGAGTATATGAGTGTCCTTTAAATTACTACAACAGATCGATAGCCTTTAAATAATTCATTGGAAGGAAGCCCAATATTGCAATTTCCTCAAAGTCACCTGAGAGTAGAATTCTTTAAAAAAAAAAAACATTCAGAAAACTGCGTCATGTCCATAAATTTGGTGGAGGACTGGAAGGCACACCAAACACTAGCTGTACACATGCAGAGACGTTAGTAAATCGCATCTTTCGTTAATATGTTTGTCTGATCATACACTTTTATTTTATTCTTTTATTTTAACATCACACAAAAATACATACACAGGTCAGATTGATGCATTTATCCGTGATCCCAACACAAGTAGGAGTGCCAAAAAGGATGGAGCCCTTTGTTTACCTGGGTTTATGGCGGGGGGGGGGGGGGTCATTAAAAAAAGTAAGGATTTGCAAAACAATGATGGAAACGAGAAACGCGAGTTGCCACAAAATGCGTACCTTCAATTCCAATGTCCAATAGCAACTTCAGGTGACCAGAAAAGACCTGTGGGAAAGAACAGGTCAAGAACCTATAGTTAACATATCTTGCGCCGAAAATGGGGTTGGATCGAAAAACCTCATGAAACCTGTCTCCGGCATCACTCGGCAGGCGATGGCTGACCTTGAACCTACTAAGCAAGAGGAAGAAAGGCGGGCAAGAAACAGTTGAAGCAAGACAAAGAACTCAGGAGCCAATGCACCAAGAAAAACAACCTTGAACCGAGTCAGATGTCATCGACGACCTTTTCTTCTCTTAGGGTGAAGAGCCTGAAGTAACTCGAGAAGGTAACTTTGTCTTTTGTGTAATATATAGACCTGGAAACAACGCGTTTGCAAAACAACTGTAGCAACGTATCCGTTGACCTTGAAGAATGACGACAAGAAGCCTTTACAAAGAACAGAGAACCATATGCAATGTAGAAAGGTTAAAATTGATTATTAAAAAAATATATACATTAATAAACAAATAAAATAAATATGGTGACAAATTACTTGTATGTACCTTCTTTGCCAAAAAGTCTTCATAGGAATAAGATTTCAATTTGCATGCAAACACTTGTATAATGAAATTGCAAAGTCATTTATGTGAATAAGTAATGAAAGTGTATGTGTTAGGGTTTTGATGCTAACGTTTGAGAACTATGACGTCACAGTCACCACAAAGAAAAACGTCATAATACACCATTTTAAACAATTTGAATTGTGACGACATAGATTCACAGATTTGTTACATATATAGAACGCCGTAGATGCAAGTAATGTAAATCCAAGGAGACGTTGCATTTGACTTAGTTGGCATTTAACCACCACTACGGTAGGAAATCCCGAAAGTTCCAGGTAAAGAAAATGTCTCTATCGAGATTCTCCCGGTGTGATTCCTGTTTCGTTCGACGAAATCCTATATGGAACTGTAAATCCTGTCGGAACTCCCTATGCTACAGTTGCAAAGAAAGTTGTGATGTGTGCCATGAGCCAACATGTGGAACTTGTACCCGAAAATGTGAAGATTGTCGCAACCGAGTGTGCTTCGGATGCAACAGGGTCTGTACGTCATGTGGTACTGTCCTGTGCTCTGATTGCGTGCAGAAGTGTAGCGACTGTTTCAAGCCTGTGTGTGGATCCTGCCAAGGTCGCTGTATTGATTGTAGGAGCGTTCTTTGCGTCGAGTGCGATGTTGGGTGTAGAACATGCGATGAGACTGTCTGTTCGTCTTGCTCCAGGACCCGCTCTTGCTGCCTGACCGGATGTTGCTACCGCCATCACTATCACCACCGGTACCACAACCACAGCTGTTGCTCTTCCTATTGCTACATCTGCAACCCTACCCTGAGGATCCGTAGGTCCATAGATGAGTGCCTTGATCCCCTCTGCTACCACTTCAAGCAGAGTTGTACCGACTGTGGGAGTTTGAAATGCAGACGCCTGATGCGACGCTGCTACGAATGCCTAACCCCTTTATGTTCCATCTGTGCCCCTCACTGCAAAGAATGCAGCATAGATCGATCCCTCCGTTTAAAGTATCTTTACTGATTAATGCAGAAATTTGTGGTACCACGCCTTGATCGTGCGAAAAAAAAGATGATTATGTGACATTTGCGCGGGAAACTAAAAAGTATCTGTGATAGTTGAAAGTTTTTGCTACAGATTTTGTTAGTCATTTACATTTGTTAGATTTTGAACGTTATTGCTGGATTTTATATTGCAAGTTATAGGATCGTGAATCGTATTTATTTATGAGCATCTATCGATTGCCTTTTTTTCTGTTTAAGTTTTGAGTTTCACTCCCAGTGTTTTGTTCATTGTTCAAGAGAGTGCAGATATCATGTGTATTTATTAAACCATTTAAATAGCACATTTTTATCGATAATAAATGATTGTGATATCGCATTAAGGTGTGTAATTTATAGCTACAATACAAAAAAGAGTGAATTAACTTTATAAGTAGGCCTACCCGTTCCGTGTGCAAATATATCCGTTCCGTGTGCAAAAGTTGACCGCTGTGACGGTACGTTGGTACTTAGGAATGACGTTTTCACTGAGGTATTATTTGTAAACCTCACATGACTCTACTTGCAACACCATCCTATATCGCCTTTGGCGGGTCTCTGTTGTGAATAAAAGTTTAGGTGAAATTTTTAAACACCTTTAAATTGACATTTAATTAAACTGGCTGAAACGAACATTTGTGCCGTAGGATTATGCTTTAACAATTAAATGCATTGATAGGGAAATGTCAAATTCTGAAGCATTATTGCTTTAAAAGTTTGAATCATCTGCAGAATATAACTCTTCTACCTTTTACAAAACACGTTAATTAATTTGTTCTGTACATAGCATAATTGAAAAGTAGGTTTTGGTATTTGTTCAGACCTGCAGAGACAGAGTACATTGAACGATCTGTACTACAGATTTGGAAGTGATCCCAAATTAGAGCTAGAAATGTTCTCTGTTGAGCCAATATAAGGAGACTACAATAAATGCAATACGTTTTACGTGTGCTATGAATATTGGCCCAGATTCTATACTTTATCATTGATACGTTTTAAATCTTATCTTTGAGTCCAACTTGTCGAGTTGCATATCTCTGATTTTAACGATTATGTCAAGCCATGTAGAAGAGTCCGACAGAGTATATAAACAGTTCCATTACTTTTCTGGTGTATTCTTTTAAGTATAGATCCTGATAGACAGAAAATATATTTCAGGATGTTTAAATGCATTGTATGTTAGAAATGGATTTCTAGTGCTAGTGTATATCTCTTCCGACCGCCGAATGGAAAAGGTATGGTCGTACCATCTGAAACTCTCTTCTTTTCCAGACGTGTTTAGTTTACATATGATATATCAAAAATAAGTATTGCGACTGCAAAAAGTCATTCGAGCAAAATCAGCGAACATGCCTTCTTTCATTTAATAACGCTTAGCTGCCAAAATTCACCAGAAATCATAGACTGCAGTCTTCAGAAGCACTAGTCTTATATATAGCAGGTTTTGAAATCGCATAATAAT